TTGCCCACAAGCTCATCTTTTTTTTTTTTAACATAGTAGTAACTACCTGATATTCTAGTTCTTTTATTATATTTTCCAAGTTTTTAAAATCTTTTAGTTACTATTTTAATGATTACTAAAATTACATTTTGACACTTAATGCACTTATTTTGGGCATTGAGGCCAAAAGGCTGAATTACAGGAGAGATGGGGGATTGTGGGGAGAGCAAGGGTGAGTAGGGAGAGGAAGGGGGGAAGAGGGGCAAGTCAAGTCGCTGAGGGCAGAGGTCAGAGGTCAGAAGGCCAGCGGGATCCTGGGCCCTGCTCCTCCACTTTTCCTGGGACTCTGGAAGCTATCCAGTGTCTTTCCAACATGCTTTGTTTTCTTTCTTTCTTTTCTTTCTTTCTTTCTTTTTTTTTTTCGTTTCCTACAGTCTTCCTTTGTGGCCCAGGCTGGAGTGCTGTGGCGCGATCTCGGCTCACTGCAACCCCCGCCTCCTGGGTTCAAGCGATTCTTCTGCTTCAGCCTCCCGAGTAGCTGGGATTACAGGTGCCCACCACCACTCCCAGCTAATTTTTGTATTTTCAGTAGAGATGCGGTTTCACCATGTTGGCCAGGCTGGTCTCAAGCGCCTGGCCTCAGGTGATCCACCTGTCTTGGCCCCCCAAAGTGCTGGGCTTACAAGCGTGGGCCACCGTGCCCAACTGTTTTCTTAAATTGGAGGGAAATGGTTTCTCTTGGACGCTAGGTTCCGTCCTCTGTCCGACCCTGCTTGGTGGTCGGGGGGTGCTGAGAAATATCTGTCGAAAGAGTTAACGAGTCTTAAGTGATTCGAGCACTTTCCATCTTAGAGGACAGTGTGCGAGCACTCGCCCTGAGCACCCCTGCAGAGGCCTCCAGGCACTCCTGCGCAGCCAGCCTGGGCCTTCAGGAAGGTTCCCCAGCTGTCAGCAGCAGGGCCCCCCCAGGGACTCTCTTCACTTGCTTTATTTGCCCTCACAGGAATCTTCTTTCAGTTTGTCTTCCTCGGAGGCCACACTTCCCGACTTCTCTCACTGGAGGCTCCACACTCCACTCACTGCTGAACGGATGGCTGCCCTGTTCCTTTCGGTTCCTGCTCAGAAGCCCCTTTCCCAGGGCGTCCCGAGGGCTCTCTCTGAAATCACACTTGGCCTGACCACCTGCCCCTGTATTGTCTCCCTGTTACTGCTCTTCATAGCAATCAACTATCCCTACAGCGTATGTTAATGTTGTTGTCTATTGCCTCCAGTCAGGAAGTTCATGAGAGTAGAAACTTTTTATTTTGTTCACTGTTCTTTCCCCTAAACAGAGACTCCCATAGGGCTGGTGCTCCACTCACTGATTCAACAAATATTTATGGAGTCTGCCTACTGTAAAGTATAAATACATAAAATAGTGCGATAGCCAGGTGCAGAGGCCCACGCTTGGAATCCCAGCAATTCACGGGGCCGAGGCATGAGAAGCTCTTGAGCCTAGGAGTTTGCGACTAGCCTGGGCAACATAGCAAGACCCTGTCTGTATAAAAAATTAAAAAGCCATGCATGGTGGCTTGCGCCTGCAATCCCAGAGGGTTGGAAGGCTGAGGCTGAGACAGGAGGATTGCTTGAGGTCAAGATTTTGAGACCAGCCTGGGCAACACAGTGAGACCCCATCTGTAAAAAAAAAAAAAGGAAAAAAGTTAGCTGGGCATGGTGGCATGTGCCTGTGGTTCCAGCTATTTGGAAGGCCAAGGTAGAATTGCTTGAGCCTGGGAGGTCAAGGCTGCAGTGAGCCATGATCATGCCACTGAACTCAAGCCTGGGTGACAGAGTGAGATCTTGTCTTAAAATAATAATAATAATAATGGCCCGATGTGGTGGCTCACGCCTGTAATCCCAGCACTTTGGGATGCTGAGGAAGGTGGATCACTTAAGGCCAGAAGTTCAAGACCAGCCTGGCTAACATGGTGAAACCTTATCTCTGCTAAGAATACAAAAAATTAGCTGGGCATGGTGGTGTGCGCCTGTAATCCTGGGTACTTGGGAGGCTGAGGCAGGAGAATTGCTTGAACCCAAGAGGCAGAGGTTGCAGTGAGCTGAGACTGCACCATTGCACTCCAGCCTGGGTAACAGAGTGAGACTTTGTCTCAAAAAAAAAAAAAGATAATGATAATAATAATAATAATGTGCTAGGAGCTGTGATGTGGAAAATTCAGAGTAAGGCAAGAGTAGATGGGGGTGGGTTGGCCTCGGAAGGCCTCATGTAAAGGGAATATTCTGGCAAACACTTGACGACGGTGAGGGAAGAGCTATGGGCAGACGGGTCAGCCAGTGCAAAGGCCCTGCCGCAGAAGTGTGCTTATGAAGCAGCAAGGAGTTGAGAATGGCTGGAGTGGAGAATGCTGGGAAGTAGTATTAGGAGAGGTCAGACATGAAATGAGGTAGCAATGGAGATTTTTTTACATCAATAAAATGCACCCATTTTAAATGATGGGTTTTGACCAATGTATAAATCCATATAACCATTGCCTTGATCAAGATATAGAACATTTTCATCACCCCTAAAAGTTCCCTTGTCTCCCTGTAATCCATTCCCCCGTCTCCCATCCCAGGCCCCAGGTAACTTTGTTGCTAGAAATTCCTGTTGCTCCTTGTGAAGAATTTCATTTAAATGGAATCATGTAATACATGCCCTTCTGGACCTGGCTTATTTTGCTCGGTAGAAAGTCTCTGAGATTCATCCATGTGGTTCCAGTTATTTGGAAGGCCAAGGCAGATTTGCTTGAGCCTGGAAGGTCAAGGCTGCAGTGAACCGTGATCATGCCACTGAACTAGAGCCTGGGTGACAGAGTGAGATCCTGTCTCAAAATAATAATAATAATAATAATAATAATAATAGCCAGATGTGGTGGCTCACACCTGTAATCCCAGCACTTTGGGAGCCTGAGGCATGTGGATCACTTAAAGCCAGGAGTTCAAGACCAGCCTGAAGTCCTTTTCAAACCTTTTGTTTGAATGGCATGATCTCAGCTCACTGCAACCTCCACCTCCCAGGTTCAAACTATCCTCCTGCCTCAGCCTCCCGAGTAGCTTCCATGTGGGTTTATGAATGGTTTCTTTGTTTTGCTGTATAGAATTCCATTGTGTGAGATAGCACAGCTGCTTTACCCATTGCACCTGCTGAAGGACATTTGGGTTGTTTCCAGCTTTTCACTATTATGAATAAAGCTGCTATGAAGGTTTATCTGTGTACAAATGACTTGGGTATATACCTAGAAGAGGTATTTCTGGGCTGCACAGTTAGTGTATGTTTTCCCCAGGGGTTGTACCACTCACTTCCCATCCAACGTGTAAGCAGCCCGGGTGCCTCTCTAACTTCCCCAGGACACGTGGTATTGTCAGTCTTTCTAATGGCGGCCATAATGGTGGGCGTGGGAGCAACACCTTGTGATGGTAATCTGTGTTTCTCTGATGACTAATGATATATTTTTTTTCCTGTGCTTACAGCTACTTTCATATCTTCTCTTGTGAAGTCTTTTTCAAACCTTTTGTCACACTCTATCGCCCAGGCTGGAATACAGCAGGATGATTTCAGCTCACTGCAACCTCCGCCTCCCAGGTTCAAGCTATCCTCCTGCCTCAGCCTCCCGATTAGCTGTGACTACAGGTGCTTGCCACCAGGCCTGGCTAATTCTTTTATTTTCTGTAGAGATGGGGTTTCACCATGTTGGCCAGGCTGGTCTCGAACTCTTGGCCTCAGGTGATCTGCCTGCCTCGGCCTCCCAAAGTGCTGGGATTCCAGTGACTTGTGCCCTGCTCAGCCTTTTCATTTTCTTACCAGTATCTTGAGTGAACGTTTCTAATTTTGATAAAGTCCAGTTTATCAATTTTGTTCATTTATCTATTGATTGATTTACAAAAATGGAATCTATGGTATACAGCATGACTTGTTTGTTTGTTTGTTTGTTTGTAGATGGAGTTTCGTTCTTGCTGCCCAGGGTGGAGTGCAGTGGTGCGATCTCGGCTCACTGCAACCTCTGCCTCCCAGGGTCAAGCAATTCTTCTGCCTCAGCCTCCCGAGTAGCTGGGATTACAGGGGTCTGCCACCACGCCTGGCTAATTTCTGTATTTTTAGTAGAGACGGGGTTTCACCATGTTGGCCAGGCTGGTCTTGAACTCCTGACCTCAGGTGATCCACCTGCCTCAGCCTCTCAAAGTGTGGGATTACAGGTGTGAGCCACTGGGCCTGGCCCATCATGATGTTTCGATACATTGTGGAATGGCTGAATCAAGCAAAGTCACTTGTGTATTACTTCACATTCTTAGCATTTTTTTGTGATGAAAACACAAAATTGATTTTTAGAAATCTTCAATTGTACATTGTTATTAATCAGAGTCACCCTGAGGTACATAGATCTCTTAAACTTTTTTTTGTCTCAATTTTTTCCTGTGTGATTTGTGTCTCGTCTAAGAAATATTTGCCTAACCTGAGGTTGTGAAGGTGTTCGTGTGTTTTTCCCCTAGTAGTTCTATCATTGCGTTGTAACCATTTTTTTTTTTCTTTTTTCTTTTTGAGACAGGATCTCACTCTGACACTCAGGTTGGAGTGCAGTGGGGTGATCTTGGCTCACTGCAGCCTATCTTTCCAGGCTAAAGTGATACAGGCATGCACTACCACACCTGGTTCACTTTTATATTTTTGGTAGAGACGGTGTTTCTTTATGTTGCCCAGGCTGGTCTTGAACTTTAAGCTCAAGTGATCCTCCTGCCTCAGCCTCCCGAAGTGCTGAAATTATAGGCTTGAGCCACCGTGCCTGGCCTATCTTTATAACTTTTGTGTTTAGGTCCACAGAAAGTTTTGAGCAAAGAACTACCATGATCTGACTTCCACAGATGCCCCTGGCATCCCTCTGCTGTGCTGAGCCTGTGGCAGGCCCGGAGGCAGACTTCAGGACACCGGTCAGGAGACCTTTCCACCCGTCCGGGCTTGGACCAGCCTGGGCAGAGTACAGCTGGGAGTAGAGGGCACATCTTGGAAATGTGTATCAGCGAGTTTTCTGGTGTAAGTCCTTCCTCCCTCCTTGCTGAATAATCATCAACTTTATGAAGTTATTTCCTTTCTCTGAAGACTTAAGTGCTTGCGGCTTCACATGAGGCCGTGTGTACGTACAGAATTGTCTTGAGCCTTGAGCAATGTTTGCTACGTATTTTAACTTTTCACTATTTTAAAGGAAATAGCTGGTTTTAAGTTTTAATCCACAGATTGTCATTCTTCAGGGATGGCAGCCCCAAACACAACATGGCAACTCATCTACTCACCCACGAAAAATTAAAAAATGGATCCTAACATATTTCATCTTACGCTCTGCGTCACTTCTGCTCGGACTCATAAATCCACGTCTCTTTGCTTTGGCCACTTCAACTCATATCCAATCCTTTCTTTAATTCATGATTTATTGCTGTAAGTTAGCTCTTTTGCCAGATTTATAAACTCACTGTTCTTCATATAATACCTACTTTGTACACTAGGCAACAAGACAGTTAATTTATTGTCTATGACTTGTTACCTTGAAAAATTACATCAATGCAAAGTGATTGCCTTTTAGCCTCTGTAGCCAATAAACTCATTTTATTTTATTTTTTTGGAGAGGATGATGTGAGGTCATAGGATCATATATATAATCAGTGAGCAGAATGAGAAGGAGCGAGTTGAAAGCTCTCTACAACAGAAGCCAAGAAGGAAGACGTCCATCTCGTAGCAATCATGTATAAGCTGGCCTCCTGCTGTTTGCTTTTCATAGGATTCTTAAATCCTCTCTTATCCCTTCCTCTCCTTGACTCCGGGGAAGTATCCCTTCAACTCTCAGGTAAGATTTTTTTTTTCCCCTTATGTTAGTCTTGAAAGAGCCTTTACCAGTCTTAAATACAATGTTAGAGATAAGAATGGGATTCCTGTTCAAAGGAGTCTTGAGTCTTGTTCTATCAATAGTCCCAGCTTTGAAAAGAATATTAAAGGATCCTTACACCACATTTTAGATGTAGTAATGGATACAGTTTTTTTGTCTCTCTCTACAATGTGAAAGGAGAAGAGAAGAATTGCTTGTTTCATGTTACCTCTGTAGTTGAAACTCTTGTTTTGGGCGATATATATTTTTTTCCAATTTTAAAAATTGCACGAAATTTAAAACATCATTACTTTTAGTTTTTACTTTAAACAAACTAGTTGAATGTAGCACTGGTTGTTCTAATTATAGATTAATAATGGATTTATTTGTTTCACCTTATGTTTAAAAAATCTGATATGTGATATCAAACAAAAATGTTTCCTAAAATGTTTTTAAATGACAAACTGGGGAGCTAGGGAGTTTACAGACTTCCGAGTATATTGACCATTCCCTTTTGATTTATGTTAATTCAGTTTAAGTCTAAGTTGAGTTAAAGAAATACATATCAGTCAGGTAGGTTCTCATTTTGCCATTATCTTTCCATTTAGTTTAAGAAATGAGAAGGCTAATGCTTGGGGATTAGGTTCCATCAAAAACTTAACTAGATTTAATCTTATCTTTAATCTTGAATACGTCTAGGCTTTTTTTAAATAAAGAAAAAAAAAAAAACCCTCTTCTAAGCCAAGGATTTTATAGTTTCTAGTCTCTAAAAGTTCATCCCGAGCAGCTTTCTGATGATCGTAAAGCACTGTCATCAGGCACTGTCAACCAACTTCCCGAGTCACTGAGATGATCACTGACTGTCCTCTTAACTGTTAAACACAGGCAGTAACTTTACTGAATCTCTGCTATTTACAAAGAAACAGCACACATCTCAAGATGAAATAAAAAATGAAAATATTCAGCTACTACAGTCATCTTAAAAACTTTACAAATAATTTAAGAAACTTAGCTGAAATGAGTGTAGCATCTCACACAAATTCGAAACAAGTGGCAGCTTATCTCAGAATTTGTTCTCATTGATTTCTCCAGAAACGAGCTTTCCTGTCAGCATTTATAGATGATCAAATTTTATAGATTTTTATTAACAGTCTTCAGAAGTGCTGCGAATGTGCTCAGATGCCTTTATGATGATCTACTCACTGTCCTCCCATCAAGGTTGCAGCTATTTGTAAGCCTGCGGCATGCCGGTGCCACACATGGCCTCCCACCCTGACTCCCACAGCCTGGAATCGCAACACAGCAGCAGGTCTGCATTTACCACGCCTCACACGCACTTTGTTCAGCACACTCCGGAGTGCCCTTTCCACACACCTTAAGCACACTTACCATGCATTCTATATGCCATCTGGTCGACCACATTTCACATAGGAAACGCCACAATCAAGTTCCTTACCGATGATTTTGAAGCCGATTCTAAGTATAATAATTGTATTGAAATCTTGAAGTTCAGTAAGAGAAGAGGTGATACCATCCTACTGGCTTTACAGGAAGGTCGTAAACAATCTTCTTTTTCCTCTCCAATTTCACCGCCCAAATATCTAAAAGCAAAAAGGCAGTAGGCAGCAGTAGATAAGCACAAATGAGGGAGTCAGACGTTTTGAACCGAAGTGGTTTTGAGAGAGGCTGTGGCTCAGCCCTCAGCTCTTATGCAAGGCAATGGAGGGGCTTGGCGCATCACGCGGGTGTCAGATCCACGTCTCCCGGCTTCCCGTTCTGCCGGCTGGCATATGGGCTGGTAGCATTTCCGCCTCTTTTAGAACACCACTGATGACACGTCGTGAACTTAGCATTGGACGTTTTTCTAGTGTTCATCTCCCTGTCTCTGGTACTCTCCAAAGACACGAGGAACAGAAATAACCAACTGAAGGATGAACTGAATTGTTAAGTCTCTGTTTTTACTCTATAGCACCTCATGAAGATGCGCGGTTAACTCCGGAGGAGCTAGAAAGAGCTTCTTTTCTGCAGATACTGCCAGAGGTGCTGCTGGGTGCAGAAAGAGGGGATAGTCTCAGGAAAGCAGGTAAAATGCTTCTCATGTTTATAGCATGTCTGATTTAATTGCTACTGAACTTACCGTCTGTCCCCATCTAGAAGAGGTAGAGCCCTATTTTGGAATATAAAGATGAACTATATAAAATAAGTAATTACCAATACTCTCCCCTCCCGGCCTGTGCAACCTTCTTTTCCCCAGCAGCTCCTTGCACACACCGTGCTCTTTGGTACCTCAGCATTTTGTCTTTCTGTGTGGACTTTTATTTTTGGGGGGTAGGGGTTGGTGGTAATTATTCCAGTTTCCAGTGAGTGCAGTTTAAAATCCTAGTTTCCCACTGACTGAAACCGTAATCTTTCTGTACTCCAGTTTCTTAATGTATAATCAGGAATGATTAAGTTTCCACCTCAGAAGGTAACTTGTGAAGAGTCAGTGAGTCAAGGCAAGTAAAATGCTCCTTGAGTCACACAGAATTAATCAAATGTCAGCTTATTCCCCTGTGGCCACATTCCTCCAAGCATGGACACAAATGCTTAGGAAGTTCTGGAAACAAAATTGAGCCTTTCGCTGGGCACGGTGGCTCACGCCTGTACTCCCAGCACTTTGGGAGGCCGAGGTGGGAGGATCACTTGAAATCAGGAGTTTAGGACCAGCCTGGCCAACATGGTGAAACCCCATCTCTACTAAAAATACAAGCATCAGGGCCGGGCGCGGTGGCTCACGCCTGTAATCCCAGCACTTTGGGAGGCCGAGACGGGCGGATCACAAGGTCAGGAGATTGAGACCATCCTGGCGAACACGGTGAAACCCCGTCTCTACTAAAAATACAAAAAAATTAGCTGGGCGTGGTGGCGGGCGCTTGTAGTCCCAGCTTCTCGGGAGGCTGAGGCAGGAGAATGGCGTGAACCCGGGAGGTGCTGGAGCTTGCAGTGAGCCGAGATCGCGCCACTGCACTCCAGCGTGGGCGACAGAGTGAGACTCCGTATCAAAAAAAAAAAAACCAAAAAAACCAAAAACCCAAACATCAGCCAGGCATGGTAGTGGGTGCCTGTAATCCTAGCCACTAGGGAGGCTGAGGTAGGAGAACTGCTTAAACCCAGGAAGCAGAGGGTTGCAGTGAGCCAAGATCTCACCACTGCACTCCAGCCTGGGCGACAGAGCAAGACTCTGTCTCAAAAAAAAAAAAAAAAAAAAAAAATTGAGCCTTTTAGTAGGCAGTTTAATACAGTCCATTTGTTGTACGTTTGATGAGCCACTGCACTGTTAAGTTACTGAGGACAATGCAATGACTTTTGTGAACTCCAGGAGTGCCTGTTTGCATTCAAGAAAAGGTTGCTGCAATGTGGAAAAAGACCAGAAACTAGACACAATTTAGTAATATTATTTTGTATATTTTAAAACAAGCACACAAGAGAAACAACAGATCTGACGAACTGGCTTCAAAACTGTTTTTCAGACTCGAGTACCAACATTTTTAACCCAAGAGGAAATTTGAGAAAGGTAAGTGACTCTATTTATGACTTAGGTTTAAAAAGGCGAACATTCTGTACTGATTTTACAGGACTCTGAATTCATGAACTAGAGAAGTGTTCTTGGTGGAAACCACACCTTAAAATAATTGGCCAGCATGGCCAGGCGCGGTGGCTCACGCCTGTGATCCCAGCACTTTGGGAGGCTGAGGCGGGTGGACCACCTGAGGTCAGAAGTTCGAGACTAGCCTGACCAACATGGTGAAACCCCGTCTCTACTAAAAATACAGAAATTAGCTGGGCTTGGTGGCGCCTGTAATCCCAGCTACTTGGGAGGCTGAGGCAGGAGAATCGCTTGAACCTGGGAGGCAGAGGTTGCAGTGAGCCGAGATAGTGCCGTCACATTCCAGCCTGGAGGATAAGAGTGAGACTTCATATCAAAATAATAATAATAATAGACCAGCATTATTTCAAAGCATTAATTTTTCCGAATTGTGATTGATATAAGATCTGAATGCAACAGGAACCTACCCAGTGCCTGTTTTGGGTAAATCAAGTAAGTTGTGAAAGAATGAAAAAAATAGGTGAGGTCGCTGCTCTCAAGTCTGGCATCCACTTGTGCTCTCATTCGCTATCTAACATGCGGCCCACCGCCAGCAGCACTGGGAGTGCCTGGAAGCGAGTGAGGGATGCAGAATTTTAGGCCCACCTAGGACCTGTGGAAGCAAAATCTGTATCTTAACAAGATCCCCAGGTGATTCACAGGCATGGGAAAGTGTGACGGGCACTGCAAGGTAACACCTAATGGAAGAAGGCCATGCTCCAGATATTGACATGAACCATGTGCAGGAGGCCGGGCGTGGTGGCTCACGAGTCTGTCATCCCAGCACTGTGGGAGACCGAGGTAGGCGGATCGCTTGAGACCAGGAGTTTAAGACCAGCCTGGGCAACATAGCGAAACCCCGTCTCTACAAAAAATACAAAACTTAGCCGGGTGTGGTGGCGTGCACCTGTAATCCCAGCTACTCGGGAGGCTGGTGCAGGAGGATCACTTGAACCCGGGAGGTGGAGGTTGCAGTGAAAGACTGCACCACTTCACTCCAGCCCAGGGAACAGAGTGAGACTCCGTCTCAAAAAAAAAAAAAAAAAAAGAAGAATACAACACAACACAACACAATACACACAATACATACAACACACAGAAGACAATAAATGCACAGAATATGTTACTTTTTATTTATTTTTTGAGAGAGGGTCTCACTCTGTTACCCAGGCTGGAGTGCAGTGGCGTGATCTCGGCTCACTGCAACATCCACCTCCCAGGTTCAAGCACTTCTAATGCCTCAGCCTCCCGAGAGTAGCTGGGGCTACAGGAGCCTGCTACCATACTCAGCTAATTTTTGTAGAGATGGGGTTTCACCATGTTGCCCAGGCTGGTCTCAAACTCCCGGGCTCAAGTGATCTGCCCGCCTCAGCCTCCTCACGTGCTAGGATTACAGGCGTGAGCCACCCGCCTAGCAACTGACATGATTTAAATAGAAGTCAGTCAATGAGGGTTTAGGAAAATTCAGGACAATCACTGAGCTGAACAGACTGGAAGGACACTCATTAGAGGTGGGGAGGTGGGCACAGGAGCCCCACTGGGCCTGGGACACTCTTGTTACAATTACAATCCAGGGAAAAACACAAATACTTTTAAGAAGTCCGATGTCTCGACTCAAGATTCCTTTTTCTTATAGGAATCTTCATTCATTGGTAACTTGTTTTTTTGTTTGGATTGTTTCAGTTTCAGGATTTCTCTGGACAAGATCCTGACATTTTACTGAGTCATCTTTTGGCCAGAATCAGGAAACCATATAAGAAACGTGAGACTCCTGATTGCTTCTGGAAATACTGTGTCTGAAGTGAAATGAGCCTCTATTAGTCAGCTCAGAAACACCCATCTTAAAACACAAAAAATAATACAATGCTTGATCTGAAAACAGTGTGGAGAAAAACTAGGCAAACTACACCCTGTTCATTATTACCTGGAAAATAAATCCTCTATGTTTTGCACATATCATGAGTGGTTATTTTCCCTATAAACGTGTCCTGAAAATTTATAATTATTCTTTTCTTCCATTTGCCCTTAGAGAATTCTTTGAAAATTCAGAAGCAAAGCTAATGAATGAACAGAAGCAAACGTTAAGAAAAAGTCACGAAAGTTAAACTTGTTTAATGACAAATCATTTAAATAAACTATATTATCTTAGCTATGATGGCCTCTTGACCCTTAAGAAAGACAACATATTACTTAAAAAATAAATCATGGCCAGGCACAGTAGCTCACGCCTGTAATCCTAGCCCTTTGGGAAGCTGAAGTGGGTGGATCACTTGAGACCAGGAGTTTGAGATCATCCTGGGCAACATGATGAAACCCTGTCTCTACCAAAGGTACAAAAATTAGCTGGGCATGGTGGCGGGTGCCCGTAGTCCCAACTCAGGAGGCTGAGGCACGAGAATCGCTTGAACCTTTGGGGCGGAGCTTGCAGTGAGCGGAGATCGCACCACTGCACTCCAGCCTGGGCAACAGAGGAAGACTGTCTAGAACATAAAAAATACAATAAACAAAATAAAATAAATTAAATAAAGATAAAACAAAATAAAATAAAAAGAAACCAGTATCTTAGCGTGGAAAAATCTCAAAGTTATGGGTGTCTGAGATGAAGGGCGGGAGCGTCTGATGCTCGTTGGTTTCTGAAGTTCGTGGGGGAAGCTCATGCGCTGAGATCCTTTCTTTCGGCTGACCAAAGTCCTAACACTTGACGATTTTAATCTTTTAACATTGAAACTTGTATAATCTCGGTTTCTGTGAGCTCAAGGATCACAGTTTCTCACACTGGGAAAAGCACCTTGATGTCTTTTATAAGGAGAGAAGAAAGCTGAGGCAAGATTTAAGATTGTGGAAGAAAGAGAGCCTGGCTTATAAATTTTTAAAAACTGTGTCAGTACCAACTTCTATTCCGTGAATACATCTGTATAAATGTGGTTGATATATGTATAGAAGATACAGTGTGAACTCCTGAGAGTTCTGTGTGGGTCTCACACAGAACCAGGTTTAGGGGAGACCTGGACGTTTATGAGAAACTCGTTTCTCTCATAGAGCTCTGACATCCCACCATATTCCAGAGGGGTCTGCACCAACCAAACAGCAACACGCAACTGTGTCAATCTTGTCACTGACCATCACAAGTCTCCTAGAGAGTACCGGTCTCAGAGAGTTTACCCTAAAGACATCAAGAACTTGGCCGGGCGTGGTAGCTCACGCCTGTAATCCCAGCACTTTGGGAGGCCGAGGCAGGCGGATCACAAGGTCAGGAGATTGAGACCATCCTGGCTGACACGGTGAAACCCCATCTCTACTAAAAATACAAAAAAAATTAGCCGGGTGTGGTGGCACGTGCCCTGTAGTCCCAGCTACTCTGGAGGCTGAGGCAGGAGAATGGCGTGAATCCAGGAGGCGGAGCTTGCAGTGAGCCGAGATCGCACCACTGCCCTCCAGCCTGGCGACAGAGCGAGACTCTAAAAAACAAACAAACAAAAAACACACACACGAATAACAAATCTAAGGGAGAGATGTTTTAAACTGCAATGAATGCACAAGCTCAGAAACATGCTAACATTGGGGATATGATAATACTGTGGTGTGTCTCTCAGTGTTGAAATTAAATCAGTACTAGTTCCCTGACACAGACTGTTCTGTATCAGAGAGAACTTAAAAGCGGAATTCCACTGTTGAATTCTGAAATCCCTACTCATATTAGTGATATCAGGTGATGATTCATATAGACTGGGGCTCTGCCATCAGGTTTCTAGGGTCAGATTCCTACTCCCAGTGCACACCAGCTGTGAGTCTCTGACCCAGTTCTTGACTCCCCCTGCCTCAGTTTATTTCTCTGTAAAATGAGGACAATAACAATGCTTATTTCACAGGGCAGTTGTGAGGATTAAATAATTCATGTCAAGCACTTAGACCAGCACCTGTCAGAGTAGTATACACGCAAAGTATACTGAGCCATTTTTCTTCCTGCTCGTTATTATGATTTTTGTTACAGAAAAGAAAGGTGCAAATGGTCTGAAAGGTGTAAGCTTTAAAAAGCTCTGTTGGCTTCAGGATCTTGTTCCCTATTTTAATTTCTAGATTTTGTTGCCACCAGTTACACAGTCAGATCTTGTACACAGGTTCACCCTACAAAATCTGAGAAATTTTGATAACCGAATTTTATAAATTTGGCATTAGAATAAGTATTAAAAATATGTACATTGGCCGGGCGCGGTGGCTCAAGCCTGTAATCCCAGCACTTTGGGAGGCTGAGACGGGCGGATCACGAGGTCAGGAGATCGAGACCATCTTGGCTAACCCCATGTCTACTAAAAAATACAAAAAAAAAAAACTAGCCGGGTGAGGTGGCAGGCGCCTGCAGTCCCAGCTACTTGGGAGGCTGAGGCAGGAGAATGGCGTAAACCTGGGAGGCGGAGCTTGCAGTGAGCTGAGATCCGGCCACTGCACTCCAGCCTGGGTGACAGAGCGAGACTCCGTCTCAAAAAAAAAAAAAAAAAATGTACATTGAAGGGAGGATTAACCCATTTATGCCAGAGGTTGCAAATTTTTTTTTTTTTTTAATGAAAAATCAGACCTTGGTGATGACCCTGAGCAGTAGCATACAAATAACTCCCACAAGTTTAGTGTTCCAATAATGGAACACTAGGTGTAAATGGGCTAAATAAGCCAATACATTTCAAAGTGCCTGCACCTTCATCCTCCACACAGTAGGTGCTCAGACCCACTGGCTAAGGCAAACACAGAATGTGGCTGAGAAAAGCAAGGTTAACTAATATGAGGGTCCCTCAATAGATCATAAGAAACAGTTCTAAATGATACAGAAAACACATTCAAAGATCTGTTGACGTAGGGCCGGACAATTTCTCGCGTTTTACATGCACAGAGTTTATTTGTTGTTTTTACTTAAAAAGATACCCAATTGAAATATTAATGATTACAAACAAATTCAGAGTTAATTATAAATTCAGTTGAAACAAAATTTCAGTTTGGATTAAATTTACACTGTGAATTATAATGAAGTTTCACTCAATTGCAAAATGATTTCCATTCACACAGCATCTTGTTTTTCATAAATCGTGACCTCTGACCAAAGAAAACACAGCTTTTTGGGTAACATTCATGTAAACATTAAAGCCTATAATATACATTTTTATTACTATTTTCAACAGTCATTAATATAAAAAGTTAACAAATCTGAACAACAAAGTTTAAGCTGGGGAGAGCCCCCTCGGGGGGCGGCGGTCAAGCTGCTGAACCCCCTGCTCACCGCCAGCAGCAGGCGCAACCTGTGAGTGCGTGAACGCGTCCACCCTCAGGAGGAGCGCTCCTCATGCTCTGACAGTTCTGCCACAAGCACCAGTTTCAAATCAAACCTGGTATAACATGTACTCCATAAAATGTCTACTAAGGCAAAGAAATAAGCACATTTGGATAATACAAATATCCAGCAACAATGGAAAAGAAAGGCTTCTATTGGAGAACATAAGGCTTAGCATATATGAATGCACAATGATCCTGAGAGCTACAGATACCATTTTTATTTACATTAGCAAAAACTGTATTACTACAGAAGGTCACTGACAGACAATCTACTGGCTGGTTAATTGTTTCAAATTTGATTCTTTATCAAGCAAAAATATCACACAACCTGATCAACACACAAAGGCTTCAGAAATCACTTAACTAGGTGGAGCAGACTATAAGAGCTATTTATAAAACAGGAATATTTGCATGGAACTGCTTAATATTAGAAAATTCCAAGAACTGTCAAAGGCAGCATTTGAAAATAGCTCTGACATCTTAGGATGGAGCTACCATCCAGAACACCACGACTTCGAAAGGAAATGTGAGCTACGGGGATGGTCATCATGGATAAAAAGGTCAATTTTCCTAATCATTATCAGGATGCATTTACAAAAGCCTGTAAAACTTCAAAGAAGAAAGAAGTATTTTCCTAAAAAAAACCATAAAAAAACCAAAAACAAAAAAGGAAGAAAAAAATAAGTTAGTTTGTTGCAAGTTATATAAAGACAAAAGGTTACTATAACCTTCACTTTCTTCTATTTGGTTTTTCTGATCTGCAGGGGTGTGAATTTCATGTATCCTTCCAAGTTTAAGAAGGAAGCAGGGACTTCTCTAAAGAGCACCAGAGAGTGAGTTGATTTACCAAGTAAACAATCACACTCACTTCTTAAAAGACACTGTGAATTCTGTAGAATTCACTGTAGAATTCTGAAATCCCTACTCATATTAGTGATATCAGGAGGTGATTCTCTACTACAAACGCCATAGAAGGCAGTGACTGATGGGGCCTGCAGGGCCCCGTGGGCGAGGACAACTGGGCTGCCTGGATGTTTTCTCCTTTGCAGTCCCCGCGACACTTACCCCTGTTCAAGGGCAAACAAAAGGCAGTGCCAATCAGACCTGCGGTAGGGCTAGAGTGACCTCTTTTGTGTAAATTGATTGGAAAGAAAGAGTTAACAGTTAGTTTTGGTAAGAATGAACATTTAAACACAAAAGTATATAAGAATGATACTAGCTTTTACATTACTTGTAAAACTTTTCACAATCATTATTTTAAAAACAAAAACACTGAAAAGGGCAACAGCACTGGTTGAGTAAGAAGCTCTTTCAACATCACACATGCAAATGCTAATGGAAACTCTCACAAGAATTGGCCCATGGTAAGCGGATCGATTTTTAAGATAAGGCTTTCAGAATTTCACTGGAAGGTGGGAAAATCAATAGGAAAGGGATCTACAAGGATGAAGGCCAAAACTCAACCCCCAAAACCTGGTTATCCCAGATATGCTAATAGACAATATGTGCTAATGTGTTGTGAGAAAACCGGAATGTTTTATCTTAATTATGGAGGGGAACGCCAGGTTGAATGAAGCCTAAATGAATGTACTGCATTCATGGAAACCATTATGAAAAGTACACATGGAAACCATTATGAAAAGTACACAATCTGTAGGTGGGATTTCTTCAAGCACTCTAAGGGGAAAATGACTTACATAACAGAACAAAATAAATTAGGCTAAGGTTTGGGGCTCATTCTAGCTCTACTTCTAATTATAATTTACTCTGGGTGACATCTGAAATAAAGATACACATACCTCTTTAGAGGCCATCCAATCTCTTTAGCAGACAATTCAACTACAAAAAGAGCCTAACTGGCCATTTTAATGTATCAGGAACAAAGAGAAGAAAGATTTTGTATACAATGTCTGCTTCAAAAAGATTATGTGTACTAAAAAATCAAGAAGAAAAAATCTTAACATTCAATGATAACTTCATGGTCATTTAAAAGTCCAGGACTTAAAAAGGTCTGTATGTGTAACGTGTCTTAAGAAAGGGTATGAAGGTTCATCCTCACAGTCACTCAGCTGCTGTCTTCTGCCAGAGCCTGACCGCAGGATGTGGCCGCACCATCAGCTGAATCTTCATTTTCGCAAGTGACACAGGCCTCCAAAAAAGAACAAAAGCAGGCGAGTTACTTGATGTCAATGTCACCTGAAGAGTTTTAAAACAGTAAAAAGCTGGTCACATGTTTCTAACTTCCCAACTTATTCAAGTCTGAAAATACTCATTATAGTTCATTCTTTATTACAACTATTTTTATTTTTTTTTTGAGACAGAGTCTTGTTGTGTCGCCCAGGCTGGATGGAGTGCAGTGGTGCGATCTTGGCTTACTGCAACCTCCGCCTCCCAGGTTCAAGCAATTCTCCTGCCTCAGCCTCCCAAGTAGCTGGGACTACAAGTGCCCACCACTACACCCAGCTAATTTTTGTTTTTTAGTAGAGATGGGGTTTCACTATGTTGGCCAGGCTGGTCTTGAACCCCTGATCTCGTGATCCACCAGCCTTGGCCTCCCAAAGTGCTGGGATTACAGGTAGTAGCCACCGTGCCTGGTCTCATTCTTTATTATTAAAAGGCAAATAACAAATTGTTTAAATACAGTCATGTGCCACATGACGTTTCAGTCAACAACAGACTGCATATATGATGGTGGTCTTGTAAGATTATCCTACCACGTTTTTTTATGGTATCTTTTCTATGCTTAGATACATAAGTACCACTGTGTTACAACTGCCTACAGCATTCAGGACAGTAACAGCTCTACAGGTGTGTAGCCTAGGATCAAAAGGCTGTTCCATAGAGCCTAGGAGTGATTGTAGCAAGCTACTCCACCGAGGTTTGTGTGAGTACACTCTAGGATGCTTGCACAAAACATCCCCATTACTAAGTGGCGCATGGACTGTGCTTTTGTTTAAATTGCTGTGGGCCTCATTTTTCATATACCCGTCTATTTACAACCAGAACAACACTGAAAAAAACAAAGACACTTACAATAACCAGCTCAGCTCCCACTTTTTGGTAAGACCCTACCCAGCCATTCTTACATGACAGACACTCATTCTTTTCTTTGAAAATGGAGATGGGGAGATTATTCTGAGAAGATGGCAGAGTAGAAGACTAGGACTGTCTCTCCTCACCTAGACAACTCGACTGACAAAATCAGTCCGAGGCAACTATTTGGAACTTGAGTCTATCTGAAGGCCTGCAACTTTCTGGGAAATGCTTAGAGGGTAAGCCGTGGTTGCCTGTGGTCAATTTCAGCTTGAAGCACAGCAGCAACTACCCATCCCTGACCCTGGGCAAGGCATGTATTCCTGGAGCACCTTGCACACAGCTTGTGGGAGTCAGAGTGGGCAATAAGGACCCTGTCTTCCAACAATCAGAAAATACGAATAAACCCTGGGAAAGGGGAGAATCTGGTTTCCAGAATTACTACGTTATTAGATTCAAATGTCTAGTTTTCAACCAAAAAAAAAAAAAAAAAAAAAAAAAATCATTAAGGCATACAAAGAAATGCCAAAGTACAGCCCCAGCTTGTCCAACCCCCTGTTGCCCATGGGCCACACGTGGCCTAGGATGGCTTTGAATGTGGCCCAACACAAATTTGTAAACTTTCTTAAAACATTATGAGTTTTTTTGGGTGATTTCTTATTATTTTTTAGCTCATCAACTACTGTTAGTGTTAGTATACTTCATGTGTGGCCCAAGACAATTCTTCTTCTTACAATGTGGCCCAGGGAAGCCAAAAGATTGGACACCCCTGGTATAGCCCATTCAAAGGGAAAACATAAACCAAAAGGAAAAGTCTCTGAGAAAGATCAGATAAAAGAATTGCGAGACAAAGATTTTAAAACCACTGAAAGATGATCAAAGAACTGGTAGGACACAGAGGCTCACGCCTGTAATCCCAGCACTTTGGAAGGCTGAGGCAGGTGGATGGCTTGAGCCAAGGAGTTCAAGACCAGCCTGGGCAACATACTGAGGTCCCAGCTCTACAAAAAAAAAAAATTAGTTAGCCATGGTGGTACACACTTGTAGTCCCAACTACTCGAGAGGATCACTTGAGACCAGGAGGTAGACACTGCAGTGAGCCATGATCATGCCACTGCACTCCAGCCTGGGTGACAAAGTGAGACTATCTTAAAAAAAAAAAAAAAGAAAAAGAAAAAGCTGGGTGTGGTGGCTTATACCTATAATCGCAGCACCTCGGGTGGCTGAGGCAAGTGGACTGCTTGAGCTCAAGAGTTCAAGACCAGGTTGGGCAACACGGCAAAATCCCATCTCTACAAAAATTTAAAAATTAGCTGGGCATGGGTGGTGTGTGCTAGCTACTCGGGAGGCTGAGGTGGGAAGACTGCTTGAGCCCAGGAGACTGAGGCTGCAGTGAGCCATGATCATGCCACTGCACTCCAGCCTGGGCGACGGAGTGAGACCTTGTCTAAAAAAAAAAAAAAAAAGAAAGAAAAAGAAAAAAGAAAAAGATGATGAAAGAATTAAAGAAAGGCATGGAGAAAAATCAAGAAAACAATGTACAAACAATGTAAATATTAATGAAGAGATAGAAAACCTAAAAAGAAGCCAGAAAGAAATTCCGTAAATAAAAAGTACAAAACTGAAATGAAAAATTCACTAGAGGGATTCAAAAGCAGATTTGAGCAGACAGAAGAAAGAATACACGTATGAAGACCGGACAATAGAAACTGTCAAGTCCGATGAACAGAAAGAAAAAAGACTGAAGAAAAGTCAACAGACCTGGAGGACATATGGGAAACCATCAAGTGGACCAACATAAGCACTACGGGGGCCCCAGAGGAAGAAAAAGAGAAAGAGACAGAAATATTATTCAAAAAAATAATGGCTGAAAACTCCCCAGGTTTGATGAAAGACACGAATGTAAACATCCAAGAGGGTAAATGAACTTCAACTAGGATGTACTCAGAACTCGGAAATCCAGGCTGTAATTAAATACCGTGAAGTCAAAGACAAAGATAATCTTAAAAGCAGCAAGGAGGCTGGGCATGGTGGCTCATGCCTGTAATCCCAGCACTTTGGGAGGCTGACGCAGGTGGATCACGAGGTCAGGAGATCGAGACCATCCTGGCAAACGCGGTGAAACCCCATCTCTACTGAAAATACAAACAAATTAGCCGGGCGTGGTGGCGGGCGCCTGTAGTCCCAGTTTCTAGGGAGGCTGAGGCAGGAGAATGGTGTTAACTGGGAGGCGGCAGAGCTTGCAATGAGTGGAGATTGTGCCACTGTACTCCAGCCTGGGAGACAGAGCAAGACTCCGTCTCAAAAAAAAAAAAAAAAGGCAAGGGAGAAGCAACTCACACATGCAGGAGATTCTCAGTAAGATTATCAGCAGGTATCCGTATCTCATCAGAAACTGTGGAGTTCAGAGGGCAGTGTCCCAGTGTATTCAAAGTACTTAAAGAAAAAAAACTGTCAACTAAGAAATCCTTTGCCTGGCCAAAAGTAAGGGAGAAGTGAAGACACTCCCAGACGAACAAAAGCCAGGGAGTTTAATACCACTACACCTACCATCCAAGGAATGCTATCAGAAGTCCTGCAGGGTTGAAATGAAAGCACACTGACAATACCCTCAAGCTGTATGAAGAAATAAAGATCTCAGCAAAGGTAAGTATTATGATTGTAACAACGATGTGTAATTCCACTTTTTGTTTTCTACATGATTTAAGAAACTAATACATTCAAAGAAAACTAGTAGTCTATAAAATCCAGTATTATTTTAGCTTTGATTTGTAATCCCACATTTTGCTTTCTATATAATTTAATAGATTAATGCATAAAAATAATTATGTCTTTGGAAACACAATGTATAAAAACCTAATTTTATAACTTCAGTAATTGAAAGAAGATGGAGATGGAGCTCTACAGAAGCAGAGTTTTTGTAGGAGGTTATCAAAGTTAAGCTGGTATAAATTCAAATTGGAGTGATATGTTAGAATGTTAAATGTAATCCCCATGGTTATCACAACGAAAATAGTTACACAATATACACAACAGGAAATGAGCAGGGCATTACATTTCACTTCAAAAAACGAACTAAACACAAAATATGACAGTAATGCAGGAAATCAGGGAAAAAAGTCTTTGAGGCACATAGAAAACAAATAGCAAAATGACACAAGTAAGTCCTTCTTACCCGTAATTACTTTAAATGTAAATGGGCTAAATTCTCCAAACAAAAGACAGAGATTGACTGAACAGATTTTGAAAAGCACTATTCAGGCCGGGCGCGGTGGCTCAAGCCTGTAATCCCAGCACTTTGGGAGGCCGAGACGGGTGGATCACGAGGTCAGGAGATCGAGACCATCCTGGCTAATACGGCGAAACCCCGTCTCTACTAAAAATACAAAAAAAAACTAGCCGGGTGAGTTGGTGGACGCCTGTAATCCCAGCTACTCGGGAGGCTGAGGCAGGAGAATGGCGTAAACCCGGGAGGCGGAGCTTGCAGTGACCTGAGATCATGCCACTGCACTCCAGCCTGGGCGACAGAGCGAGACTCCGTGTCAAAAAAAAAAAAAAAAAAAAGAAAAGCACTGTTCAGATATATGCTGTCTACTCACTTCAGATGTAGACACAAATAGGTTGAAAGTGAAAGGATGTAAAAAGTTACTGCATGGAAATAATAACCAAGAGAGTAAGTGTGTCTATAAGTCAGTCACACCAAGACAAATAATATATGATTTCACTCATATGAGGTGTGCATAGTAGTCAAATTCATATGGCTCTCTCCTGTAATCCGAGCACTTTGGGAGGCTGAGGCAGGTAAATCACTTGAGGTCAGGAATTTGAGACCAGCCTGGCCAACATGGTGATCTCTACAAAAATCAGATGGGCGTGGTGGTGTGTGCCTGCAATCCCAGCTACTCTGGAGGCTGAGGCAGGAGAATGGCTTGAACCCGGGAGGCAGAGGTTGCAGTGAGCCAAGATCATGCCACTGCACTCCAGCCTGGGCAAGAGAGCAAGACTTTGTCTCAAAAAAAAAAAAAAAGAAAAAAGAGAAAGAAGACCAGTGGTCGCAAAGGGTTGGGAGAAGGAGGAACGGGGAAATTATTGTTTAATGGGTATAGAGTTTCAGTTTTGCAAAATGAAGAAAGTTCTAGAGATGGATGGTGGTGATGGTTGCATAATGTGAAGATATTTAATATTCTTGAATTATATACTTAAAAACAGTTCAGAAGGTAAATTTCATGTTATGTGTATTATACCACAATTAAAAGTGTTAATTTTTAAAAACGGGAGTAGTGAGATTTCATGGTCTTGCTTACTTCATAAGCCTTAATATTTTTTTAAAACACCTAAGTTTACTCTCTTTTTTAAAAGTATTTTTACACACACACACACACACACACACACACACACACACACACACACACAATTTGTCTTTTTTGAGACTGGCTGGAATGCAGTGGTGAGATCATAGCTCACTGTAGCTTCAGTTTCCCAGGCTCAAGCAATCTTCCTGCCTCAACCTCCTGAGTAGTTGGGACTGTAAGTGCACGCCACCACACCTGGCTAATTTTTTTGATTTTTATTAGAGACGCATTTGGCTATGCTGCCTAGCGTGGTCTCCAACTGCTGATCCTCTCACCTTGGCCTCCCGAAGTGCTGGGATTATAGACGTGAGCCACCGGACTAGGCCTACTTGCTTTTGTTTTTAACTTGAGTCTTCAGCCTCCCATATCTTGATACTTGTGGGAATAAAGATCTCATTACTAGTACAACCATCACTACCATTACCACAGCTGCCACCAACACTGGTTGGGCCCACTGGTAAATCAAAGCTTTACTGTTCAGGCTATTCACAGAAAATCTCATTGAGAAGACCTCATAACAGCAAAAAGACACTTAGGTCCCATTAAAGTTTCTGCTTGGTATGAATACCACGTCTGGTGTGAATCTTACATCTTTTTTTTTTTTTTTTAACTCTTTTCAAACATGCAGACATATTTGAAATATGTAACAAATCACCTATCAAATGCAGTCAATCACACATCAAAGCAGGTGTTTCTACTCTTTATTGTCCCCTAACATTCCAACTGGTAGAACAAAAAACCACCTGGAGGCAAAAAGACCTGTGTTCAAAATCCAATGAACTGCATGGCCTTGTATTAATTATTTAACATGTGTATACCCTACTTCTTGCTTATTGGTAAAGAGGGAATAATAACACCTACCACAGAGGTAAACTGTGTGGATTAACATTTTCAATGGGATCATGCAAGAGCATGACCTATATTAAAACCACTACCTGGCCAAAATACATGAGTATATGACAGCCATTATTATTGTGCTTACTTGAATGTTGATTTCTTGAGAGACAGTCTGGCTTTGAATCCAATTATACATCTTGGCCAGCTCCTCCTTTTGCCCATGAGAAAACTGGGGCTGCTGCTGCCTCATACTTTCTAACTTTTCTAGGTCTTCTTTTAGTACAACTTCTTTAACCCTGAAAACAAACAAACAGAATCTTAATAGTCCTGAATAAGACACAGGGTTCTTTTCATGTCATGTAAGAACAGCACTTCTTTTTTGGCTGGTAATACACCTTACATTTTCTAATACATGAGGCATACATTAAAAAAAAAAAAAACTAGATCATTTCCTTGTCAAGTTGGTAAAGGCCTTCTTCTTGGTGGAAAATATCTATACGATGTTTTAATGAGGTGTATGGAAGATAGAGATTCCCCTTAGCTCTTTTCTTTTAGAATGGGGCAAAAAAAATCAAGAGCCTAAAACAAAAAGTTCTTGTACTTGTGTGCCATCTTGGAAAGCACCGACTTTGTTTCCTTGTCTCGTGATGTGTAAGATCTGTTTAGTCTGGATCTGAATATAGGTGACACTATCTCTGCCATCCTTAGTTTAAGAAATCATTCATCACTTGACTTCAAATGAGTAAATTTGAAAATACATTTCTCAAAGAGAATTTATAAAACATTCAATAATTATTTTGTCTTTAAAAACACATTAAGAAACCATAGGCCAGGCGCAGTGGCTCACGCCTATAATCCCAGCACTTTGGGAGGCCCAGGTGGGCAGATCACCTGAGGCCAGGAGTTCAAGATCAACCTGGCCAACATGAGGAAATCCCATCTCTACTAAAAATACAAAAAACTAGCTGGGTGTGGTGGTGCATACCTGTAATCCCAACTACTTGGGAGACTGAGGCAGGAGAATCTTGAACCTGGGAGACAGAGGTTGTAGTGAGCTGAGATGGCACCATGGCACTCCAGCCTCCAGAGTGAGACTCTGTCACAAACGAACCAACCAACCAACCAACCAACCAACTCCGTCTCTACTAAAAATACAAAAATTAGCCAGGTGTGGTGGTGCACACCTGTAATCCCAGCTACTAGGGAGGCTGAGGCAGAAGAATCGCTTGAACCCAGGAGAAGGAGGTTGCAGTGAGCCGAGATTGCTGAACTGCACTCCAGCCTGGGTGACACAGCGAGACTCCGTCTCAAAAAAGAAAAAAACCACAAAAATAAAAAAAGTGGGTCTTCTAAAGTGCTTTCTTACCTCTCAGGTACCTGATATGTCATGAGAACACACTCAGGTGTCTGCCGTATCATTCTCCAGATGGATTCTTCAGCGACATTAGGAAATGTTTCTTTTTTCTGTACATCCTGAGATTGCTGCCCACTTTGGGAGATTTTAGAATAAACACTACTAGTAAAGTGTATACTGCTGTCGCTGCTTCCTGTCAAAAATCAACAACAAATAATTAGAAAAGACCTGTCTGACTGATTTGCCAAACTGGCTCTCATTCTTCAAAGACTCTTGCCTCGGACAGTCCTCCCCCTCAGCCAGCCCAACCATTATTTCTGGGAAAGTTCCTCCTCCCTATGAACAGCCTCCTGGTTCTTTGGTCTTCCTGAGATCTCTTTTTCCATTCCTAATGAGCTACCACTCTCAAGGTTACATACATTGCCCTTTATCATCACCCATAACTGTTCCATCTCCAAAATCATTAACATCTCAGCTTTACTTTCTCATTGGCTTGTTCAATTATTTCAACTATAAATGTGTTAACAGTGTCTTAGTCTTCCTGTAGTTCCTTCATTATTCAGCCTGGAGTCCTCAGTTCATCATTCAGTAACATACCTTGCAATATCTTAGACTTATTTTTCCCTCTGACTTTTCATAACTGTCAAAATGCCAACTCCGATAAAGACAATTATTGACTTTGTTCTTACCTAAACCCAAGTAGCCAAATACGTAGAGAAAGTCACATACAACAGGGTACAGTGTTTCTACAATAAAAAACTCATCATCACCAACCTCAAATGCACCATTAAAATGCTACAGTTCTCTGGTCATGTACTAACCTACCCCCAGCAATGACTATTTTCAACCTCTCTATTTCCTCCCTCAATCTCACCTATTTTATAAGGAAAAAAGCCATCAGAAAGCAAATTAATCATCTTTATGATACCAAACATACACAATTAATGATATATGTACCCCTCCTCACCTTCCTCCTCTCACAACAGAGAAACTGTTCATCCCAAGGACCATCCCTTTATGGCTGCTATGAAGCCTTATGGATCATTCCTTTCCTATCTAGCATGTGACCCTTCTAGATCCTTCTCACTGACTTTGAAAGAATTAAAAATACCAATTTGTTTAATTTTCTAAAAAAAGTATGTAAATAAAAAAGTAATAAAAACATTTTCTTCATTAAAAAATATCTTTAGGTTGGGCATGGTGGCTCACGCCTGTAATCCTGGCACTCTGGGAGGCCAAGATGAGAGGACTGCTTGAGGCCAGGAGTTTGAAACCAGCCTGGGCAACATAGTGAGGTTCCATTTCCATAAAAATAAAAAATTAGCTGAGTGTGGTGGTACGTGCCGGTGGTCCCAGCTACTCAGGAGGCTGAGGTTGGAGGATTGCTTGAGCCCAGGAGTTTGAGGCTACAGTGAGCTATGATTGCATCAGTGCACTCTAGCCTGGGTAACAGAGTGAGACCTTGTGTCAAAACAAAAACAACAACAAAACACCCACACAAAACAACTTTAAGAGGTTTTTACTGATTAAAGCAAAAATAGTAACAGTGTTATTGTGGGTTTACACGTTAAAATGTATGACAAAAATAGCACAAAAGACAAGGAAGACATGGAAGTACTCTGTCTTAAGGTTCTAATATATAAAGTGATAGAATAGGTATAATATTTGAAAGTAAACTGTGATAAGTAAAAGATGTGCACTGTAAAACCTAAAGCCGGCTGGGCACGGTGGCTCACACCTGTAATGCCAGCACTTTGGGAGACTGAGGCGGGCAGATCGCCTGAGGTCAGGAGTTTCAGACTAGCTTGGCCAACATGGTGAAACCCCATCTCTACTAAAAATACAAAAAAATTAGCCAGACGTGGTGGCGCACGCCTGTAGTACTGGCTACTTGGGAGGCTGAGGCAGAAGAATTGCTTGAACACGGGAGGTGGAGGATGCAGTGAGCCGAGATGGCACCACTGCACTCCAGCCTGGGCAACAGAGTCTCAAAGAAAAAAATAAAATAAAAATTAAAAAAAAGTAACTCCTAGAGCAAAAACTTAAAAAAAAAAAAAAAGGTATCCTTGAGAAGCCAATACATAATTAACCCAAAAGGAGGAGGGTAGGAGGAAAAAAAGAAAGGGCAGATGAGACAAACAGAAAATTAGTAGCAAGATGAAAGATTTAACTTAAACCTAACCATATCAACATTCACATTCAAGGTAAATAGTCCAAGCAAGAATTGCAGTTAAAAGGCTGAGATTGTCACATGAATAAAAATACCCAACTATATGGTGGTTACAAGACTTACTTTAAATATAAAGACACAGATTAGTTAAAAGTAAAAAGATGGAAAAAATTTACCATGTAAATGCTAATCAAAATAAAGCTGGACTGGATACACTGATACCAGACAAAGCAGACTTCAAAGCAAGACATATTTCAGGATAAAGAGAGCAATTCATCAAGAGGATATAAGTGCATAATCTTAAGTGCATATGCACCTAATAAAAGAGCTTCAAAATACATAAAGCAAAAACTCACTGCACTATAAGAAAAAATAGAGAAATTCACATTTATAGCTGGACATGTAAGAGCTGTATCATAATAACTTATAAAACGGATAGAAAATCATAACAGAGAAAGTTGGATCAACGTTATCAACCAACTTGATCTAATTTACATTTATAGAACACATGACTCAACAACAGCAGAAAGCATATTCTTTTCAAATGCACATGAAACATTTATCAAGATGGACCAAATTCCAGATCATTACACAATGTCTCGGTAAATTTAAAAAATACAAAACAAAGTTATCTGACTGCATTTAAATTAGAAATAAAAATATCTAAAAAAAATCTCCAAATATTAGGAAATTAAGCCTTTCTAAATAACTGAAAGATCAAATAAGAAAATACAAGTGAAATTAGAAATATTTTAGACTGGCCAGGCACAGTGGCCTACGCCTGCAGTTCCAGCTACTCAGGAAGCTGAGGCCACAGGATTGTTAAGCCCAGGAGTTTGAGGGTGCAGTGAGCTGGGATCATGCCACTGCACTCCAGCCTAGGCAACAGAGTGAGACCTTGGTTCAAAAAAAAAAAAAACTATTGAAGCTGCATGAAAATAAAAATACAACATACCAAAATTTGAGGGATGCAATGGTTAGAGCACTCAATAGCATTAAATGTTTATATTGGGGGGAAAAAATCTCAATTCAAAGATCTAACAAGCTTCTACCTTAAGAAATAAGAAGAAATAAAAATAAAAATCCATAGTAAAGAGAAAAGAAGTAATAAAAATTAGAGCATAGGCTGGACGCAGTGGCTCACCCCTGTAATCCCAGCACTTTGGAAGGCCAAGGCAGGCGAATCATGAGATCAGGAGTTCAAGACCAGCCTGGCCAACATGGTGAAACCCTGTCTCTACTAAAAATACAAAAAATCAGCCGGGTGTGGTGGCAGGCGCCTGTAATCCCAGCTACTCTGGAGGCTAAGGCAGGAGAATCGCTTGATCCCGGGAGGTGGAGGTTGCAGTGAGCCGAGATCATGCCACTGCACTCCAGCCTGGGCAACAGTGCAAGACTCCGTGTCAGGATAAAAAAAAAAAGAGAGCATAAATCAATTAAAAAAAAAAAGTAAAAAAAAATAGGCAAAAAAACCCCAATGAGATCAAAAGTTCTTTGAAAACTTACTAAAATTGATAAACATAGTCAGATTGAACAGGAAAAATATTAATACCAGCAATAAGAGGGGTACATTACTATAAAACCTACAGACATTACAAGGAAAAGGGAATATTTAAAACTTTATGCCAATACATTCAACAAATTAGATAAAACAGATACATTTCTTAAAAGATACAAATTACCAAAGATCACTAAGAAACTGATAACCTGATTAGACCCATATCTATTAAAGAATTTAAATTTGTTGTTAAAATCCTTCTCACCAAGAAAACTCCAGGCCCAGAAAGATTCACAGGTAAATTCCACCAAACATACAAAGAAATAATAGCAGTTCAGCACAAACTCTTCCAGAAAACAGAATAGCAAAGAATAGTTCCTAGCTCATTTTTTGAAGCTAGAATTACTCTGATACCAAAACCAGACAAAGACATTACAAGTAAAGAAAGTGAATGGACCAATATTCTGCACAGAGATGCAATAATGTGTAACAAAACATTAGGAAGATAATCCAACAATACACAAAAAAGGATAAAAGAGCATGACCAAATGCAAGGTTAATTTACTATCAGAAAACTGATGTAATTCACCATATTAATAGAATAAGGGAAGAAAACCACATGATTATCTCAACAGATGCAGAAAAGGCAACTCAGCAGACTAGCAGCAACAGAAGGGAACTTCCTCAACCTGATAACGGCATTCAAGGAAAACTTATGTTTAACATCATACTTAATGGTGAAACACTGAGTGCTTTCCCCTTAAGACTGTGAACCAGGGAAGTGTCTATTTTCCTATTTCTATTAACACTTCACTGTGGGTCCTAGCCAGTTCAACGAGGCAAGACAAATAAATAAAGACATACAGATGGAAAAAAAGAAGTAAGATTATATTTGCAGATAATAAAGACTATGTAGAAAAGTCCTGCAGAATCTACAAAAGAGCTACTAAAACTAATAAATGAGTTTAGCAAGACTGCAGAACACGAGTTACAAACACACAATTTGATTACATTTCTACATGCTAACAACAAACAACTGCAAACTGAAAATTTTAAATGCCATTTACAGTAGCATCAACAATTATAAAATCCTTAGAGATAAATTTAGCAAAACATGTGTAAGAGTTGTAGGCTGAAAACTATAAAACACGGCTGAGAAGAATTAAAACCTACATAGAGAAATTGTTGTACTTGTGGATCAAAATACTCAATATCATTAGGAAGATAATTATTCACAAATTGATCATCTATAGATTCAACACAATTTCAATCAAAACACCAGAAGACTTTTTTGTAGAAACTGAGAAATGGAATCTATAATTTATATGGACAAAGGACCTAGAATATTCAAAATCATTTTGAAAAGAAGAATTAAGTTGAAGGACTTACTTCACCAGACTTCAAGACTTACTTGAAAGTTACATTACTCAAGAGTATGGTACTGGCCTAAAGCTAGCCATACAGATCAGTGGAACAGAAGAGTCCAGAAATAGACCCACACATATATGGTCAAGTTATTTTCAATGAAGTCGTCATGGCAATTTAATGGGGGAAAGATTAATCCTTTGAACAAACAGGGCAGGAACAATTAGATATCCCAATGTAAAGAAAGTATATTGACCCTTCCTCATACCATACACAAAAACTAACTCAAAATGGATCACAGATCTAAGCTATAACTGCTATTAAAGGTGCGTCTCAACAGCATCATGCTAACTGAAAGAATCCTAATACGAAAGATGGCATGCTGTCTGATTCTATATATAAATCATAGGAAAAGCAAAACTAAAGTGACAGCAAACCAGTGGCTACCAGGAGACCAAGGGTCAGGGCAGAGATGGACTGGTGAGGGTCACAGAACTTTTTGGGGTGAAATGTTCTATATGGTGATTGTGGTAGTGCTTACACGAAGGTACACATCTGTCAGAATTCTTGTTTGTACCCCTAAAATTGGTGAATTTTATTGTGCATAAATATACCCCAATATACCTGACAAGAAAAAAGGAAAAAGAAAAAAACCCTGTACTGCCACATCAGTGCCTGGGGAACACAGTGAAAACTTATCACATAGTGAATGCCTGGCAATGGAGTTTGAAACATTGGTTGTCCTGATCCACTACCTGATGCTGCAGAACCAGTTCCGGATGGAGATTCGCTGGGAGGTGACCCCGTGGACAGAACACTGGCAGTAGGATGGGATGGAGTCCCGCTGGGAGGTGATCCCATGGACAGTGTGCTGGCAGTAGGATGGGATGGATTCTCCCTGGGAGGTGACCCCGTGGACAGTGCACCGGTAGTGGCAGGACTGCTCTCACTGCCACTGTTGCCTGCAACACACTGCTAGAAAGTAAGGGCAATGAAAAGACACTTTAATCTTCTTATCACAAAATACAGTAGAGTCCTCCTTTATTCATGGTTTTGCTTTCTGTAGTTTGTTACCTGTGGTCAACCGAGGTCCAAAAATAGTAAATGGAAAATTCCAGAAATAAACAGTTCATAAGTTTAAAATTGTGAGCCATTCTGGTAGTGTCATAACATTTTGAGCTGTCTCATTGTTTCCAGCCTGTGATAGGAATCATCCCTTTATTTCGTGCCTCCACACTGTATGTGCTACCCACTTGTTAGTCGCTCAGTAGCCGTCTTGGCTGTCAGATCTACTGTGGTAGTATCGTAGCGCTTGTGTTCAAGTAACACGTATTTTACATAATAATGGCCCCAAAGTGCAAGAGGAGTGATGCCAGCAATCGGGACATGCCAAAGAGAAGACATAAAGTGCTTCATTTAAGTGAAAAGGTGAAAGTTCTCAAGAAGGAAAGGAAAAACTCATGTGCTGAGAGTGCTACAATTTTAGGCAAGAACGAATCTTCTATCCGTGAAACTGTGATGAGTCGATTTTATAACTGTTCTATGTTATTAGTTACTGCTGTTAATCTCTTACTGTTCTTAATTGATAAATTAAACTTTACCATACGTATGTACAGTATGTACAGGAAAAAACATACAGTATATACGGTTCAGAACTATTCAGTTTCCAGCATCCATCAGGGGTTTGAAACATATCCCCTGGGTAAGGGAGACTACTGTAACTGGAATATCTTCAACTTCATATGTTAAATAGAATAAAATTTACATATATAACTAAGAAGTAAAAACTTTCCAGCCTATCCCTAAGAAGTAAGTTCCGTTGTAAGTAATATTAAGGCACTACTACTTTCTCAGTATCTGCTACATGCCAGGCACTGCAAGTAGTTTTTTTGTCACTCAGCAAATACGTATTGAACATTTTATACGTTCTAGGCACTGTGTCAAACACGAGGAATACAATAATGAACAAAACAAAGTTCCAGATCTCTGGGAGCACCCTCTGCACAGGGATAGGTACTATATAAATACATCATTTAGCCCTCAGAGTAAGTTATGAGGAATTCATCTTTCCATTTTCCTAATAAGGAAACAGAGGCAAAGAAAGGTTAAATAACTTGTCTAAGTGAATCTACCTAACTAGTCACCAAGCTGGGATTTGAATCCATGTCTTAATCCATAGCCCAGGCTTTACTCACTATAATATACTGCCTTGTCTTAGATTTTTAGCAAGCACAGTAATAACAGGTTTTCAAAAGTGAGCATATTTTCTTGATTTGTATCACTAGATTTTGAGTATGTGGTAAAGAGGGGTATTATATCTTGAAGGGAAGGTCAAAGAATCTGTGTAAATATTCACACTTGCCTTGGATTCTATACCTAAATATAGCAACATCAGATTCCAAAGTTTAAACTGCTAAATAAACCTGAGAATGGCTTTTTAGGTAGAGGGAGGAAAAATTATAGGAAGTAGACCAAAAAAGCTTTTGATTTTGAAAAAATAACATGTTTAAGTGTGAAACTATAAACTGCCTACTCTACTGATAATAAAGTAGCTCCTAACCCTTCATACACACCTGTTGTCCTGCGACTGTGCATGAAGAAGTACAATCGTTAAATTGTCAACATGGCTTATTCCTATCTCACCAGACCATAACCCCGGTTGTAAGTAAACAAATACATATTATAGGCAATGAACACTTAAGTGTAATACCTGGATCGCATTTTAAAGAGTGGAGAGAATCCAGTTCACATGAAAACTTAAAAGCACTTTGGAAAAAACCTCACAAAGTATCTAAGAAACTAGAATATAGATGATTCTTTCGTGTCTACTTTCCAAACAGAGCCAGACAGATGTGTTTCGTGTTTACAGAGTTAGGCTGACAGGCTCGCTCACAGCAGCCATGCGGATTACCTACTGAGGATGTCTGCGCTGAGTCCCAACGCGACCACCTTAACTTTAGTAAGATATTCACTTTCTCACTTGAGCACTGAAAATGAGCATCACTTACATACTCAGCTTGTGGGCATGTGTTCCTTCTCATCTGATCTGGAGATTCAGAGCGTCTGGGCATCTCTTCCTGAAGTAAGTTTAACTGCAAGGGCGAGCTGCTCCTCGAAGTAATGAATGGGTGCCCCTCGCTTTGCGCCTCCCACTTTTCCTCCTCTCTCCTTTGGTTGGTTACTGAAGCGGGTGGGTCCAGGGTTGGAGTCATTCCTGACGACATCGAGGGTGATATCCCAGAAGAGGCTGTCGCCCCCAGGAATGGACACAGAAAGAACGATGGCGACAACAGAGGGCAGACAGGGGGGTCAGGCAGGAAAACGGTCATAAAAGTATCCAAGTAAGGAGAAGGAAAAGCTGGGTAAGGTTGCAGGTCCTTGGACAATGGCGGCCCATGCAGGCCTTCCGGTACAGTTCCGGGGGCTGCGTATTCTCTTCCGGGACAGGTCGCGGCTGGGAGGGGAAAAGCTGGGACGAGATAAGGGGCCTGGCTGGGCACCATGGCGGCAGGTGGGAAGGTCCGGCCCGAGGTGTGCGGAGAGGAGGCCGTGGAGGGGCAGCAGGGCTGTGCGTTCTGACGCGCTCCCCTGTGGGGACCAGAGCCGGCGTTTGAGCTGCTGCTGTCTGGCGGCTCCGGCAGCTTCTTCCGTTTGTGCTTCCCTTTCCTGCAGCCGGCCAACTGCGTCTGCTTGGAAGTATAATCTCCTGGAAGGATAAAGATAGAGGCAAATTATGGAAAATTAAACCCAAAAAGAAGAGAAAGATGCCACTTACTGGTAGTTATAAGTAGCTGACAATGAATGTGCATTTGCCAATACTACCAGAATGGCAAAAAGTGGCTCTAAAAACATGAACAAAATTCCGGATAAAAACAGTTGCTATCAAATAAACTTATTTCAGCATCTCTCAATCAGTTTCTCGCAAAAAAAGTTTCCCAGATCTAGGATCTAAGAAAGAATCTACATAAATTGTTGATGTAAATAGATTGTTTTAGCATCTTTCCATCAGCTTCTTACAAGTGAAACTCCTATTGTTTACTCCTTATCTCCTAGTCAAGATACAGTTTGTAACATCTACATAGATTAATGGCATTTATTTTTAAAAACTTATGTACCTTGAAAATATGAATATTTAGCTTTGCTTCTGCTTTCTTGCTGAAGATAGGAGCTGTAGGGGGATGACAGGATCTTTTCTCGGAATTTATCAACATAATTCTGCTCTTCCTTCTGGGTGTGCGCTGACAGAACAGCTGCTGTGAGCCCCACATGTTTAAATTCTTCTGAGGTCAAAGGGGCTGGCTGCATGTTCAGAGTCCAGGGCTCACAGACGAGGGTAGCATCCCTGGCTGAGGTGGAAGAAGACATACTTAATTTTAATTCCTATCAATTATTTGTATTGATTTATTTTACTTTGTTAACTGCCTTTCAATACATTTTTACAAACATTATAATTGCTGGAATACAAAAAATCATTAGTCTAGCATAAAAATTCTTGATTTTCTGTCTTTGTATTCTTTGCACAAATGCACATCTTACAGTTGTAATAATCAATATGTACACATTTATTTAAATCTTGCTTTTATTGTAAACATTTTTCTCCCTGAATTCTTCAAAATTTCTTTTTATCTTTGAATTTATCTTTTAAATAGGCAATCCTGTGATTCAAAAATCAGCAAGTATTAATAAAGACATGTAATAGTACATTCTCCCCACCCCTGTCCATGCTCTGTCTAGTTCTCATTTGTTTCCCCTGCAGAAGACCATTCCGCTGGAGTGCAGTGGCGCCATCTTGCCTCACTGCAGCCTCTGCTTCCCAGGTTCAAGTGATTCTGCCTTAGCCTCCCAAGTAGCTGGAACTACAGGTGTGCGCCACACCACGCGCGGATAAGTTTTGTTTTTATTTTATCTTATTTTATTTTATTTGAGATGGAGTTTTGCTCTTGTTGCCCAGGCTAGAGTGCAATGGTGCAATCTCGGCTCACTGCAACCTCTGCTTCTTGAGTTCAAGTGATTCTTCTGCTTCAGCCTCCCAAGTAGCTGGGATTACAGGGATGTGCCGCCACATCTGGCTAATTTTATATTTTTAGTAGAGACGGGGTTTCACCATGTTGGCCAGGCTAGTCTCGAACTCTTGACTTCAGGTGATCCCCCTGCCTCGGCCTCCCTTGGGATTACAAGCATGAGCCACTGCACCTGGCCCTTCCAATTTATTATGTATGAACAAGCATGAATATAGATTATCTTCCTCCGTAACCCCATCTTTACCCAATGCTCTCCATCTCACAGGTTGTTGGAAAGATATTTAATGAGATCATACCAATGAAGAACTAAGAGCAGAGAGTGGCACAAAGAAATGGCTCGACACATATTAGCTGATAGGCCACTGAAGACTAGCAAAGATAAAGCACAGATCATGTGAAAACCCAATTTAACATATTTGTCACCATTCCTTCATCTACCCAAATTGTTATTAGTGATGAAAATGTCAAAAAGACAGGTGGCAATAAGGAGGAATAGAAAGAAGAGAGTAGAATAATTAACAAGTAATTATGGTGTGAAATGGAAGAGTTTTAAAGAACTCTATTCATTGCTATCACACCAATACAAAAATCTGAACACATGTGTGACTGAGCTCATCACAACTTACAGGATGGTGAAATGCAGGTGAAAGGAACACATTCTTTAAAAGTCAGCAAGGAAGTAGCCTCACACAGTCCCATCTATAATTGCATTAACAATGGCTAACACTAATTGAGGGCTTACTAATACCTACCTACTAGGTACTGTATTAAGTGCTTTTTATGTGTCAACTGATTTCACTGACAAATAACGTAACTGAGAAATACTGTCCAAAATATGTAACCAACACAAACGCGATGATGTTTCCAGAAATACTTTAACTGAACTAAAGGAAAAAATATGTGTAGTTTAGAAGTTATAACTGAGCAAATGGTATTCATGACTTTTGTTTTCTCATCACAATGTAGTTAATATTTAGTATATTTTCAAAGTAAGAGGCGAGTGTGGTACCTGTCTCTGGTGGGACGTGGACAATGGTGTTGCTGTAACCACACTGGCTTATGCCCGACCCCAAGCTCAGCACCGCCGTGGACAGAATCTGTGGAGCTCCTCCTCCTGCGTCTATGGACCGTCCATTTGTTGGCATTTCTGGTTTAGGTATGGTTGGGATTTGCAAACCAGCTGGTGGTGTAAGAGAAACTGACAGTGAAAAGAAAAATTCTCAAGAAGAAATTTATATGAAAGACTCAGTTTACAGAAGTTTGTAACTGAGAAATTAAACCTTACTGGCCATAAAGAGGTACTAAGAAACCAGAATTTTATGCTTACAACAAAATAAATATAAGACATTAAAGAGAAATATGAAGGATGTATTTACAGTTCTTTGAATTTAACTCCGAGGGGCATTCTTGTTACCTTGTAAGGCTTGGACATCATTTGCCTTGTGGTTCTGTTTGTCTTCTTCTGAGGAGGAAGAAGTTGTATTTGTACAGGAGATACACTTTCTTTTCAAAGCTGGAATGTTGTAGCTCTTCAGGTATCTGTAAAAACATAATTAGGCCACATATTCTTAGCTGTTCCCTAACTCTGCCATTTCCCACCTCTTTGCTTTTCTCATGCCACTTCTGTTTGGCATACTTCGTACTTTCTTCTTTGATAAAGTCTTCCCTGACCATCCCAGCCTCAATCACTGGATTGTAACATTTCTTTTACTGTGGTCTTGAATTAACCTTCAAATCTTATGTCACGGGTGTCCAATCTTTTGGCTTCCCTGGGCCACACATAAAATACACTAATACTAATCATAACTGATGAGCTACAAAAAAATCACAAAAAAATCTCATAATGCTTTAAGAAAGTTTACGAACTTGTGTTGGGCTGCATTCAAAACCGTCTTGGGCCACATGCAGCCTGTGGGCCATGGGCTGGACAAGCTTGCCTTACACCATTTAATTTTGACAAAAATAGGTCTTGTCTTCTGAACTATACCACAGTTCCTTCAAAGAAGGAATGTATCTTCTAGCTTTTTGTGCCTTCTGTAATGTTCAGTGTATGTGTGAGGCACACCCCATCAATATCTACTGACTTAATAGTGAAACACTAAGTCAGAGCAACTATTAAAAATTCTATGAAGTCTCTACAGTGACAGTGTATGCTTTTGGAACAGACTTACATGGTATCCAAACTTGCGGTCTCATACCTGATGACACTGTCGATACAGTTGATCTGTTGATAGGATGGGCTGTGCTCATCGTTCCTCAAATCCTCATAAGGCTCAGTGTACACACTATTATTTTTCAGTGTTTGGTGGACGGAAGTAAAGGTTTTATATTCACCTGAAACAGAATAAAGGGATGTGCAATTAAAGGTACCCAGCATGTAATTAAGAACATATACTTTCTTACTAAAATTAAACCATGGCACTTTATCATGTATACAATAGAATATTATGCAGCTATTAAGAATGAGTGCAGATCTAAAATGCACTAATAGAAAGATATCCACAACACACAATGTGTATAAAATAAGGTGCAGAGCACATTACATATAGAATGGCTACAACTGTATTTAGAAAAATAAGGAATGAAACCAAAATTTCCAGCAAAGATTATCAAGGAATGAAACCATAGGTTTAAGGTTGATGGGAAACTTTCCAATGTTGAGCTGACACTGCCTGTACAACTGGTCAACCCTGGCAATCACTAAGGGTGGAATGTGGGAAGACCTGTGCATCTTACGTGATGCTGTGTGAAGTACACAGCATCTCCCACGTGGAGCCTGTGTCCAACAGAACTTTCTGTGATGACTGATGGATTATTTGTGCTGACTAGTATGGTAGCCATTAACATACCTATTAAGCACTTGGAATATGGCTAGAGCAACTGAGAAACTAAATGTTAATTGTATTACATTTAACTGTATTGAATTTGAATTTAAATTGCCAAATGTGGCAAGTGGCCGCCATTGTAGATGTAGGTACAGAAAGAAGAAAAAACCTTCAGGCTTAAGCACTAAAAACTTCCTGTAAAGGACAATGAGCCAATAAAGGAGACTGAAAAAGGGCAGCTGGAAAGATAACAGAAAATCCCACAAAGTTCGGCCTCACAGCAACCAAGAATGAAAACTTTTCAAGGAAGGAGTAACTAATTACGTCATGTACTACTGAGAAGTTTTGTAGAAGTGTTAGACGCTGGTCATTTTTAGCTGGCTTGGAAGAGGCTTCTCTATTTTCAGAAGGTATTATGGAAAAATGACTGTATTACCTTTCACTCATTAATGATTTTTAACTTTTAATTTTGAAATCATTTTAGACTTGAAGAGTTGCAAAAACAGTACAATAGAGTTCCTATATGCCTGTCACCCTGCTTCCACTAATGTTACCATGGTCTACAACCATAATAAAATGACCCAAACTAGGAAATGAACAAGTGGTACCATTCTACTAACTGGAAAACAGATCTTCTTTGGATTTTATCAGTTTACCACTCAATGATGTTTTTCCGTTCAGGGTCAGAACTTTAGTGGGATGGCCTTCGATTTGAGTTTCTCTGATGTCTTCTCATGATTAGATCGAGGTTATGCATTTGGGGAAAGAATGCCACTGAGGTACAGTGTCCTTCCTTGTGCATCATCCCAGGGTACATGATGTCAATTTGTTTTGTTACCTTGCTCATTGGTTAACATGGTGTCTCTCGGGTTTGTCCTGTGTAAAGTTACTATTTTACAATGTAATAAACAAATAATATGCTTTGGAGGAATACTTGGCGATCACCCAAGTATTCTGTTTCTTTAAAACTTCTCAAAGTTTAAGTTCCCCATTAACCTTTCACCTGTAGTTTCATTCCTTGATAATCTTTGTCTGAACCATCTGTTTTATTCTTTTTATTTGGCATAGTATACTAACCCGTGTCTATCCATCCCTCTGTATATTAAACGAAAGGGGCATGAGTCCACACTGAAACCATTCGTGCCAATCCAGCATCATGGAGTTCCTTCCCTTCGGCTGGGTGTGGCTTTCCTCTGATAGTGAGGAGTCTGGTTATCGTTATCGATAGCGGCTTCCACAATTTGTTCAACCCTAGTATAAAGTCGCTTTAGAATTGCTACCCCGTACTCTGGTGGAAAACGAATACACCAACTTGAGTACAGTGCTTGTGCACATTCATAATTTTGTATTTTGCCTTAGGAGATCCAGTTGCAGCGCTGTTTTCCAAAGCTACTGAGCTCTATTCTTCCCCACCCCTTCCGTGTGTTTAGTCCTGTCATCTGTAATGCAGTCAGATTCACTTGTCAAAGCCTGCATCTCCTGGGGTTCTCTTTGCATTTTGGGGTGAGATGGAGTGCACAAATCTGTGGGTTTTGGCGAATGCACAGAAAGTTGTGTATCCATCACCACAGTAACCAAAAGAACATTTCCATGACTTAAAAATGTCCTTACATTGTCTCCTCTACCCAATCATAGTGAATACCGATCTGTTTTCCAGAGCTAGAGCATTCCAGAAAGAACGCTTTTCTGGAATGGAGTTGTACAATATGTAACCTTTTGGTTCTGCCTTCTTTCACTTAACAAAATGTATTTAAGATTTATATCTACAATGGTCTGTGAATCAAGTTCATTTCTCTTCACCGGTGAGTAGCATTTCACTGTGTGGATATACATAGCTTATCCATTCTGTGGAATGACATTTGGGTTGTTTCTGTGTTTGGCAAGTAACAGTGTAATAAATATTCACATACAGGTTTTCATGTGAATTTAAGTTTCTATGTCAGTTGGGTAAATCACTAAGAATAGAATTACTAAGTTACATGGTAAGAGTATGTCTAACTTTATGGGAAATGTCAAAGTTTCCCAAAGTGGCTGTACAATTTGGCATTACCTCCAGCAACGGGTGAGTGTTCCGGTCACTCTGCATCCTTGCCAACACTTGGTACTGTCAGTTTTTAAAAAAAATTTAGCCACTCTCACATGGTTTAAATTTTTTTGTCTAATGACTTAGGTTCAACATCTTTTCAGATGTTATTTGCTGTTTATATATCTCCTTTGGAAAAATGTTGTTACTAATTGGGTTGTCTTCTTGAGTTTTGAGCGTTCTTTATGTACACTGGATATAACTTCATTAATGTATATAAAATTTGCAAATATTTTGTCTTTTCATTCTTATCAGTGTCTTTCAGGTGTGATTGGATGCGTTCAAGGTGGTATGGCCACAGTTACCAGTGTCTTTCAAAAAGGGGAAGTTTCACATTTTGATAAAGCCCAACCTGTCCGTCTTTTCTTCTTTCTTTTGTTCAGTATGGCTAAAGACTTACTAATTTTATTACCCTTTGATTTAACTTAGTTTCTCTTTTCAATTCCATTGATATCTGGTCTTTATTATTTCCTTCTTATTGCTTGAGATACAATTTGTTCTTCTTTCTCTTATTTTTAAGGAGGAAGCTTAGATTACTGAGTCGAGACCATTCTTCTTTTTTCCATATATACACTCAATGCTGTAAATTTCCCTTTAAGCAATGTTTTAGGTATATCCCATATATTTTTTGTTGTCTTTTCATTTTGTTCAGTTCAAATTTTTTTGAGATGGAGTCTCGCTCTGTCGCCCAGGCTGGAGTGCAGTGGCGGAATCTTGGCTCACTACAAGCTCCGCCTCCCAGGTTCACACCATTCTCCTGCCTCAGCCTCCTGAGTAGCTGGAACTACAGGCACCCATCACCATGCCTGGCTAATTATTCATATTCATGTTGAATACGAATAATTTTTTTTTGTATTTTTAGTAGAGTTGGGGTTTCACTGTGTTAGCCAGGATGGCCTCAATCTCCTGACCTTGTGATCCGCCCACCTCGGCCTCCCCAAGTGCTGAAATTACAGGCGTGAGCCACCACACCGGGCCCAAAATGTTTTTATTTCCCTTGAAACTTCCTCTCTGACCTGTGGATTATTTATAAGTATGAAGTTACTTAATTTCCGAACATTTAGGGATTTTCTAAATACTTCTGTTACTGATTTCTAAGTTTGATCTATTATGGTTAGCGAATAAACAGTATATGATTTCTTTTCTTTAAAAATGTTTTAAGGTTTGTAATATGGCCATAATCTGATCTGTTCTGATGAATGTTGCATGAAAAATATGTGTTGTGTTGTTGGGTCAAGTGTTCCATAAATGTCAATTAGGCAGACCTTGCTGATAGTGTTGTTCAGGTCTTCTATAGCATTACTAATTTTCTGTCTACTTCTTTTATCAATTACAGACAGAAATGTGCTGAAGTCTCCAATTATCATTGTGAATTTGTCTATTTCTCCTTATAGTTTTACAGCTTTTACTTCATGTATTTTGAAGCTCTGATATTAGATGCATAAACATGTAAGACTTTTCTATATTCTTAAGGAATCAACTCCTTTATCTGTTATACAGTCTCTCCTTCTAACTCTGCTAACATTCCTTATTCTGAAGTCTACTTTGTGTAATAATAATAATACAGCTTCCCACTTTCTTTTGATTTGTGTTAGCATGATATATCTTTTCTACTCTTTTGCTCTTAACCTGTTTATTTTCACAATGGGTTCTTGTAGATAGTATGTAGCTGGATCTTTTCATCCAATTTGACAATTTCTTTCTTGTAAATTAGTGTGCTATTATTCATATTGAATATGAATTGAATTAAATATGATTCATATTCATATTCAATACATTAGTGATTGTTGATATTGCTGGATTAAAATATACCAGCCACTAGTTGTTTTCTATTTGTTCCATTTGCTATTTATTTTTAAGTGTATTTTTAGAGATGAGGTATGGCTACGTTGCCCAGGCTGGACTCGAACTCCTGGGCTCGAGTGATCCTCTCACCTCAGTCTTCTTAGTAGCTGGCAGATGGCACCACTCCCAGCTTCAGTTCCATTTGGTTTTGGGCCACCATTTTGGGTTAAGTGTCTTAAATTCCATTTTACCTCCTCTATTAACCTATTATTTATACTTAAAAAAATTTTCAAATTGTTTTCCTGAAGTTTCCAATATATATTCTTAAGTACTTAGTGTCTACCTCCAAATAAAAAAATACTGTTTCAAATACAGTATAGGGACCTAATAACAGTATATTCCCAATACCTTCCACCCAACCTCTGTAGTATTGTTGTCACAAAGATTACTTATATATACGCTATAAATCCAGTTTGCTGGTTTTGCTTTAGTCCATTACCTTTATGAGTAGTTTTAAAAATTTAAAAATAGAATTTTTTTAATCTTTATTTATTCCATTTCCAGTGCTTTTCACTTCTTTGTGTAGATACAAGTTTTTGGTCTGGTATCATACTCCTTCTGTCTTAAGAACTTCCTTCATCAAAAATATTTCTCAACATTCACATATGACAACAAATGTTTTTCAATCATTATATGATTGGCATTGTTCTATTTATTTGGTAACTATCCTGAGTAAGGGGCAAAATTCCATCTGGTGTGTCTGTGTGTATCCCTTTAAAAATGATTTGTACCTATCTACAGAGTGCCTAGATTTTCTTTTTTTTTTTTTTTTTTTTGAGACGGAGTCTTGCTCTGTCACCCGGGCTGGAGTGCAGTGGCCGAATGTCAGCTCACTGCAAGCTCCGCCTCCCGGGTTTACGCCATTCTCTTGCCTCAGCCTCCCGAGTAGCTGGGACTACAGGCGCCCGCCACCTCGCCCGGCTAATTTTTTGTATTTTTAGTAGAGACGGGGTTTCACTGTGTTAGCCAGGATGGTCTCGATCTCCTGACCTTGTGATCCGCCCATCTCGGCCTCCCAAAGTGCTGGGATTACAGGCTTGAGCCACCGCGCCCGGCCAGAGTGCCTAGATTTTCTCAAAGCACTATCCACAGAGACATTTCTCTATTTATGTTATAAACACAGTGTATTTCTCTATTTATGTTATAAACACAATATAATCATTGACAAGGGAAAATTTATGTTCATGTTTGCAAAATTACATGGTCAATTGTAAAGCATTAGCAGTATTAGAATTCATCAAGAGATTATAAGTAGAGACTTGATAGACAATGTCTGTATTTAGACAGCTTGAAAACTATATATTTTTGGTAAACAAGTCTGTATTTGGTAATATTTTCTTCTAATTTCATTTAAATACATCATCCTGTTTTGTCTTGAAAAAAAAAATTCCTTTAGCACTTCTTATGGAATAAGTGTGCTGAAAATAAATTCCCATAATATTTGTTTGAGAAAATTCTTTATATCACCTTTATTTTCTTGAGGATCGTTTTCACTAGGTACAGAATTCTGTGCTGACAGTTTTTCTGGTTGAAGATGTTACTCTATTGTCTTTTTAGTGTGCATGGTTTCTGAAGAAATGTCTGTTATAATTCTTATCTTTGTCTCTCTGTACATAATCTTTTTTTCTGACTGCTTTCAAGATTTTCTTTTTTCCATCGGTTTGAATATGATATGCCCAAATGTTTTGTTTTGTTTTTGTTCTGTATTTAACTTACTTGATGGTCTTTGGCTCTGCAGAAAATTCTTGACTGCTTTTTCTTCAAATATTTCTTCTGAGATTCCAATTACACCTATGTTGGATAGTTTGAGGCTGTCTCCAAATTCTTAGAATGCTCTATTCTGTTTGCTTCATTCTTCTTTCTCCGTTTCAGCTTGAATAATGATTCTTTTCCAGGCTGTGTTGAATGCTATTGAATGTGTTCCTCATCTCTGGCATTGATGTTACAGATGTTACATTTCCATTTGAGGGTTTCTTTCATGCCCATCTCTATGCTGTGATTACCCACCTGCCCCTGCATGGTGCCCACTTTGTCCACTAGCCTTTAATGCATCATTCATAATTATTTTACGTTCCCTGTCAGATAGTTCCAACTTCTGTGTCCTATCTGAGTCTTGTTCTGATGATGGTTTTGTTTCTTGGGAGGGTTTTTTTTTTTTTCTTTTACCTTCTTGCCCATCCATATGCTACATAATTTCTTGTTGAGAACTGTGTAACTTGTGTAGGATATAGAGACTGGGCATGCCTTTCCTTCTTTTAGACCTCTGTTCGAATTAATCTAATTTTTAGGCCAGGTTTAAGTATTATAATGGATTTACAGCATGTACAACAGTTTTCAAATTCCTCTAGTTATACCTTTTGCCTCAGCTGGTGGCTGGTTTGGTGGGTAATTTTTTTGTTTTTTCTCAATATCTGTTCCACTTTCAGCTTTTGGTCTTTCCTTGTCGTTGTGCCTTGGAGAGGGTCTGTCTTCTGCAAGTTACTTGACTCAGGCTGTCGGTGCACTGGAATCCAGTGCTGCATCTTTCTTCTCTCTGCAAATATGTTTCTCTCCTTAAATTTTAGGCCTGCCGGCTGCTCTGTAACTCAGCACTCTGAGTTGTCAAGAAAGGTCTTGAACTTGCCTTTCATCCAGATTTTTCTGTTGTAAATTTGGGGTGATGCTGTTTCTGGCTGTCTACATCCCTGAGTAGAAACTGGAATTAACCTCACTCTGAATCTGTTCAACTGACGAGTCATCTTCTCCCACTCAGGCATTCCATCACCCTAGACATGGACACTCACTTTTCCTGGATTTCCTCAATGATATCTCTTGAAGCTGGCCTCTGTACATGTAGCTGAAGCGGCTTTACATATCCCTGTTGTTCCTTGCCCTCCCATATTAACTTTTAAAATCTCCCTTCTTATTCTACCTTAAAGCATTATTTGCTCTTATATTGTAAGAAAGGTAAACATATAAATTTTAAACCTGAAGTTCCCATAAAGCATGTAAACAATGCTCATGCTTAACTAAGCATTTTTCTTTTCATTGGTATATATCTCTAGTCAATTTCTAACATTTAAATTATAACATTTTTAAGTTGTATCCTCATGTGTCTAAAGTAAAGAGTATTAAGGTTTCTTAGCTCTTTAAACTTGTTGGTCTCCAAATGTTAATAAAATCAAGATCTCCCAGAAACATTGGTTCTCCAAAGCTGTACCGAATGGCAAGAGATCTTCCTTCTTCTCCAAAGTCACATCCTGTGTGTGCTATTAGAGCCAAATATAAGAATCTAAGGAGTGAGAACATTTCAGTTTCTAAAGTAGCTGCATAAGCACATGGAGTTACCTGCAGCTTCAATTTTATAAAAAATCAGTGATGGAATATTGCCGTCTACTTAAAGATACAGCCTTCAAAAAAAAAAAAAAATAGTAGCAATGGTATTACAAGATCCACGGTAGATGATAAGAAACCGAATACTGCAGGAAGTGAGAAGGGAAGTGAGGTGAGAAGGGAAGCTATTCTGAGATGAGGACAGAAGTCAGTATGTGAAATTCTGATACTACCGTGAGATCCTAGGCCCAGGCAGCTGTGAGTAGGACTGGCAGGACCAGACAGTGAGAAAAACATTTAGACATTTTAGCTTTAAAACTTCCTAAAAGAAATAGCTCTGCTAGGACATGGAATAATAATCGATATAGTAAAAATTGTATTTAAGATAAATTTTTCTGCAGAGGGGGAATGTGGGGGTTTTGAGGGACAAGAATAAAAAAAGCAGCTGTTATTCCTGTCTTGTGCCCTTACATGTAACAGCAGAAGAAACCAATGGAATGCTCACCTTCCTATCGAGGTGAAAAGAGAAAAATGAAAGAACAGGACTTGCTCTACCTAGGGAGTCCTATAGGCTCTACTGTGGTTTGAATGTGTACGTCCCCCATGATTCTTATGTTGGAACTTAAAACCCAATGTGACAGTGTCAACAGGCACATGTTAACATAAATGGGATCTGCAACCTTTCAGAAGGGCCAGAAGGAACTAGCTAAGTCTCTTCCTGCCTTTCCGTCCCTTGTGCCATGTGAGGACACAGCGTTTGCTCCCACCCAAGGAAGTGATATTCTCTGAGAAGCGGAGACCTGGCCCTCACTAGACACTGAACCTGCCAGTGTCCTGATCTTGGACCTCCCAGCCTCCAAAACTGTGAGAAACAGGTTTCTGTTCTTTATCCATTATCTAGTCTCAGGTATTTTGTTACAGCAGTACAGACTAAGACGGTTCCCAGTGATGTCACCTATGGGAGCAGCAGTTTGACTTTTTGTGGTATAAATCATGTCAAGTCCTGAAACGTATAGCTGTTATCATTACTGACCTTAGAAATTTCACCCCACTGTGTAAAACGTCTACATTTGACAATGATAGAGATTAATAACATTTAGTGACCAAGATCCATCACAACTTCCAAATTATATTAACATTCAGGAAGAAAAATGAAGGGAAAGTTAGCTAAATTTAAATGTCAATCTAATTTGATTTCTATATTACTGAACTTCCCTATGCCATACAATGCAACTAGGTTAACTTTTCAATATGATGCCAGTTTTACTACTGATCCAGCTCTTTTGGAGTGCTCCTCACCTCATATTTGAGAAAAGTAAATACATGTCAAGAAAAGAGCCAAAGATTTTCATTGAATTCAGGTCATAAAGATTTCTGTTTGAAATGACGAAAGGGATTTTCATTTTAATATACTTTATTATTTAAAATGCATTCTAAAATCCACTCTTTTTGTTTAAAGAGATGCCCATGCAGGGAGGAAAATCTATAATTTGTTGGTATTTTCAGAAAAGTTAAGCCTTCAGTAAAAGTGAACTGCAACTATTACAAATACATTCTAATACCATTTACTTTCAAAATAGTATTTGCTGTTGCCATTATTATCACTACTATTACTTTGCTATTTAGGCAAATCAAGAAATATGAAAAGCACCAACACAGGGTCATGACTTTGTGCTCATGACTCACATACGTGACATCTATGTAGAGTGACAGCCCACAGGAGGAGATCCTTGGGGAGGACTCACCACCATCATTCGCTGACTCACCACCACCATTCAGTTCTGTGCGTGTCCCCGTCACTGGCTTGAATGATGATTTGGTCATTGACTCGATGTAGAGCTGCTGACCCAGATTCTTAATTTTGTTGACACTGGCATAGACCTGCTGCAAGGTCATCTTAGGGAAAGGAAAGATAAAATATGTTTCAAAAATTACAAAAATGTCCACTAAAAGATACATAAACAAAATACACTTAGCTTCTGTTTCTCTGAAGACATAATGACTAAAGCACAGTAATTGCCTTAATTCAGTTTCCTGCACCATGCCACAGGATACTGGTACCAACAAATTCTAAATAAATCGTTCAAAATATGCTAATTTTTAGAACGCATACAATTCATTCAAATATCACTTTCCAAAAGTGGTATCTTCTTTTTACAGACATTTTTCCCAAAGCAAAATGGATGAAAATGTCTGTTATCAGATGAGGTCTTCGAGTCAGGAATATATACTAAGATGTCACCACATGCAGAACTGAGGTAGTACAGAAAACACGACGCCTGTATAAGGATGTGACATAAGCCCATGCACCTGCTCTGCCTTTGTCTCCTCCACGCAGTGCCCGCTGGCCTCACTGGAGGAGGCGATGCTGACAAGCTGCTCCTGCGACCCGCTGCTCCCCAGGCTCCCATAGCCGCTGGACACACTCACGTGAACTGGCTAGAAGGACAGAGAGGAACAAGTCCAGAATTGCTGGGTGTCTAAATGCAGCCACCTCAGAGCTCATCTAGAATCATCTAAAAATTAAGATGACAATTCCTGAAATCCCCAATTAGGTGTGTGCAGGTTGGTACTTTTAACGCTGACACGAAAGGCACTCCTCTGTCATTTCGGTAATTCTCAAGGGCAAGGTCTTACGTTCTAGTCTAGGTAGGTACTTCCAGGAAAACACATTGTTAAAAAGCCATAGTATAATTAATTTTTTAAAACTTGAAAATAAACTCTAGTTCTCTGTGTCCAGTTTAGAATGGAGAGAACAAACTAAATATATGGTGTACTTCTTCCAAGAACGTGGCAGGTATTTCATGCACCCTAGAGATTTTATGGGAGACATTCTGAAAACCACTGAGGACAGTTACTCTACGTGATGCCATCAGTTCTATTTCCCACTTATTCACTGAATCTCTTATAGAAAACACCTTTGGTATTTCTTCTCAACACACGCATTTCCCCACTTTTACCTTACAATAGTTAAGAGAAACTGAGACCTACCATCCCTCTCCTCCCATCTTTAAAACTGAAATTATTTAAAAAATCCTGAAGCCAAAACCCAAAGGCTGAGCGCACTGGTGCCTCTGCAGTGTAAGAATTCTCTCAGTCACTTGGCTTGCTGTCTTACAATAGGTTCTTACAAAAATATTCTGTGTAACACAGAATAAGGAACAAAGAATAAAATTTAATTTAAAAATGAAAAGAGAAAGACAAAAATTTCTGGAATGCAGAGGGCAAAGATTTGTCTCCCTTTACAGCTTATTTTTGTAAAGTGACTTTACTGAGCATTAAAACGAAACACAATACGGGAATTTTGCATTTTTAAAAATCTCACCTTACCTGTAAGAGAAGTTTGTAAATTTGTTCTTGTAATTCTGTTACGTCTTTGTCATTATTGTTCGTCTTTTTAATTTTGGTAGCAAAAACATCCTCATTTAGTGGGCTCCTAGAAAATTCCCAGTGAGAGACTGAGTCAAACAATTTAAATGTGAAGTTGAAAGTGATTTTTAATAGACTATTCCAAGATAGATCTATGCTTTTACAAAACAATTATTTGACTCCTAAAAGAAAATATGAGGCTAGAATTCTACCCATGGAGGTACAGAAACTAATAAGAGACAAATGAGACATTAACAAGCCCCTTAAGTTTCTCTAAAGCACTCATCTTTCTGTAATGGTTTCAGTGCTATGTATGTACAAATCTAAAATTAGTGACAAGTAACCTCCTTAGCTACTAAAATATCTTTCGCAAATAACTGGTTTCAAAATTTGACAGTAACTGAGTAACTTACTATAAGAATTTTAAAGGCCCCAAGTTTGCCAAACAACATTTAATGTTTAATGCACCTAACACTTAAGTTATCTAATTAAGACGGTTCTGCAACCCACCCTAGTGGTGAAAATGTCGCTATTACAATACCTTCAGTCTGTCTCACACTCCAATTTTAGAGCATCTATGACCCGAATACAGTGAATGGCACCCATGCCAACAGAGAGGATCACAAAGAAGGGAAGGAACTGATGTCTACTTGGGACCTTCTATGTGACAGGCACTGTACTAGTTTTTTTTTTTTTTTTTTTTTTTGAGACGGAGTCTTGCTCTGTCACCCAGGCTGGAGTGCAGTGGCGTAATTTCAGCTCACTGCAATCTTTGCCTCCCAGATTCAGGCGATCTTCCTGCCTCAGCCTCCCGAGTAGCTGGGATTACAGGCACGTGCCACCATGCCCGGCTAATTTTTGTATTTTTAGGAGAGACAGGATTTCGCCATGTTGGCCAGGCTGGTCTGAAACTCCTGACCTCAAGTGATCCATCCGCCTCGGCCTCCCAACACCGCACCCGGCCTGTACTAGTTTTTATAACACACAAGAATACCTAACATTTTGAAAACCCTTATTTTCAAGTGCTTTACAAGTATTTTCTCCTTCACCTGATTAAATTACATTTTCCAGGTGGCCTGGCAGGTAAGGGGGAAGCAGGTGTTCACGAAGGGACCAGAGTCTGGGCTCCAGAGCCCACACTGTGTGCCACCACACTGTACTGCCTATGGGTACCTTGGTAAAGCAAGTCCCATTCGTGAGGCACACTGAATCAGCTGCCACCAGCTCATGGAGTCCTCACAACAACCCCGGAAAGTAGGAATTATCCCCAATATGCAAAGTCAGGGGATGAAGTAGTCTGAGGAATTGGCCCAAGTTCACATAACGGAGAAGCAGCAGTTAGGATTTGAATCTGCCTATGTCTGACCCCCAAGCCTGGGCTGTCCTTTTTCATTATGCCAGCCTGCCGTTTCTCAACTGATATATGCAGCTCAGTTACCTAAAAACTGAAACAGTTTCCCAAAGGCAGAAATTATCAACAAAATCATAGGATGCTGACAGTGTCATAAAAGCAGTCAGGAATATCGCCACGTGTAGGGACTATTCACTCACCCTGCACATTCTCATCACAGTGGAACAGCTGCACCAATCGCCTTTCTCTCCCTTATCATCTAGACTGTATCTAGATCAATATCTATCTGCATGCTGTCAGGTACACCATATGTCTGTGGCAAGCAGTACCTGAATATATAACCTTATTTCACAATCTGACACACTATATGTTTTATGTAACTGTCTCCCCCTATAACCCACTGCCAGGTAAGCGCCACGGGGTGAGGTATTTTGCCTATTTTGTTCACTCCTGGATCTTCAGTACCTAGAACAGTGTCTGGTCCATAGCAGGCACCCACTACATATTTGTTAAAGGAACAAATACATGATTGATCTGGAAATAAAAGTACACTTGGTTCCTAATATAAACACATTGTGAGCTTGAAAACCTTTCAGAGGTATTTGGAATTTATTTTTTGAGTGAAATGGAAATAGAACAGATTGCTTTATGAGATTTACATATTCCTAGCTGTGAAAATTTCTGCAAAACTAAATTGTGTATATATACATATTTTAAGAGACAGGATCTTGCTCTATTGCCCAGCCTAAAGTGCAGTGGTGCAATTCTGGCTCACTACTGCCTTGAACACCTGGACTCAAGCAATCCTCTTGCCTCAGCCTTCTAAGTAGCTGAGAGGACTACAGGCACGTACCACTATGCTCAGCTAATTTTTGTTTTTACATTTTTTGTAGAGATGGGGTCTTGCTATGTTGCCCAGGCCAGTCTTGAACTCCTGGCCTCAAGTGATCCTCCTGCCTCAGCCTCTCAAAGTGCTGGGATTACAAGAATGACACATTAAAGTGTATTTTAAATCAGTAATTATGTAATGCAAAACTGATTAATCTGCAGGCAATAAGGAGACAGCCTTCACGAAACAGCAACAAAAATGCCATGAAGTGTTATGTTGCTGTGTATGTGAAGTGAAGGAGGAGTAAGAGAGAAAACTTGGCTGCAGTCTCCACTTTCACTCCTCCCCAGGTGATCCCTGGGAAGGTTACTCTAGTTCACACAGTATGGATTTGACCTGTAAAATGAGAGCTGAGGACACCTGACCTGCCTGCATGCAGTGCTGCTGGGAAGGACTGAGAGAGATGCGCAGGGTCCCTCGCTAAACAGTCTCGCAACCCCCTTCCCATTTCAACTGTCACACTTACCAAACTCTAGTTACATATGACAGTGCCATTTTTATTTACTGTCTCTCCCATTACAGTGTGGGTTTCCTGATGGTAAAGAGAACGTTTTGATTACCATCACATTCTCAAGGCCTGGTACACTGTCTTACACAGAGCTTTATACTTTATAAATAAAATGAATAATTATTATTTTATGAGCAAGATGAATACCTACTAGACCTTAAATCCTTTCCCTCACATAATCTTTGTTGTTAAGATGTAAATACTGGTGTAATTTTTAAAAATACTGAAAACATTCTGAATATTCACTATATGTTGGGTAATTTCACATATATTTCATCAAAGAACTGAAAAGAGAGCTTCAGAAATCTAGGCTGTATCTTTAACTCTGACTGGGGCCAGGGAACACAGACCATCAACGAGCCCCAGATGGAAGCCTCATGAAGGCATCTTACTGGCTGTGGTTTCCTACATTCATGCCAAGCAACCATCGGATTTCATGTTCATTTCCCAACAGGTTTCCGTACTTGGGGCGGGGAGGTTGGGAGAAGGGACAAAGTCCTTTCTGAGAAATACAAATGGTTTTACTTGGCAGCTGTATTTCTTAATAATCAAATTTGTTTTCTAGCACAAATCAGGCTCATGAGTTAGGGCGGCCAGGAGCCCATTTCTTCCATTAAGTTCTAGACATGCTCTGCAGAGAGGCCAAACCCTGGAGCAGAAAGAGGTAAGAGCAACCTTGAGACCTCTTCTCCCCATGGCTCTGCACATCATCTTTACTGTAATATTAACAGGTGATTCAAATACGTCTTACTGGTTCTCAGTTTCATGTTCATGTAGACATGTAGACAATGCTGTATAACAAGATACCAAAAAACATAACTTCTCGATCTCAGCATGATACTGGAGTCAAGTAAAATTCCATGCTTAAAAAAAATAGACATCAAAGGGAAACCTAGAGCCAGGTCAAAAGGCCTAGAGTTCAATTAAAAATGGACCAACGCGTTGGGCATGATGGCTCACACCTGTAAGCCCAGCACTTTGGGAGGCCAAGGCGGGCGGATCATTTGAGGTCAAGAGTTCAAGAGCAGCCTGGCCAACATTGTGAAACCCAGTCTCTATTAAAAATACAAAAAATGAGCCGGGCGTGCGCCTGTAATCCTAGCTACTGGAGAGGCTGAGGCAGGAGAATCGTTTGAACCTAGGAGGCGGAAGTTGCAGTGAGCTGCCATCGTGCCACTGTACTCCAGCCTGGGTGAGAGAGGGAGACCCTGCTTGTCTCATTTAAAAAAAAAAAAAAAAAGGACCGAAGATTCAAGGGCCTAGGGGTACTGTAGCCTACAAGAAGTAGTGGGCCGGGTTGGTCTCATTCCATTCTACGTGCTGCTGTTACGTGGACATGCAACAGCAAGCAAACAAGCTGGTGTCAGCTGTGCTGCCAGGAAAAGAAATATTAAAAAATGGACACAGGCCAAGCGCAGTGCCTCACACCTTCAAAATCCCAGCACTTTGGGAGGCAGGAGGATGCTTAAGCGCAGGAGTTTGCGACCAGCCTGGACAACATGGCAAAACCCCATCTCTACAAAAAATACAAGAATTAGCTGAATGTGTTGACAGGCACCTGTGGGCCCAGCTACTTGGGAGGCTGAAGTGGGAGGATCACCTGAGCCAGGGGAGGTTGAGGCTGCAGTGAGCTGTGCCTGCATCACTGCATTCTAGCCTGGGCAACAGAGGGAGAACTTGTCTCAAAAAAAAAAAAAGACACGAATAAGTGGAATTTGATGGCAGAAGGCTGCTATAAAAAGTTTTACATGCTCACTAAAGAGATATTTAAAATAGAGAGAAAAAAAGAAAAAAGAAAAAAACACCTGTAGGTCCTAGTACCTACACATGACCAAAATTCATATTTTATTTCCTTTCAATCCTCTTTTCCTTATTTGATAGTATGTTTATGTTTTAAACATAATTATAATCATAGGTGTAATTTTGCATGCTGATTTTTATATTTAATGTGTCAAATATTTTTCCATGTTATGTGATCTCTGCAAAAATTTTCATTGACCAATATAATAATACATCAAGCAAATATTCCAGATTTTACTTAATGATGGACATTTAAGCTACTTTAAGGCTCATGGTACGTATTGTCAAACTATCTTCCCAAAGCACCGAAAAAAAAATCTGTGCTTTATTTAGTTCATGTGTCAACTAAGTCAGAGGGCAGTCAATAAGCTAAGGAATATTATTTGATACAGGAGATGTTTTAGAAAATATGAAAACTGACTGGCTTACGTTCGAACTTTATGCCGACCAATGATGAAAGAAACCTTCCGGCTCCAGGGATTCACAAAGCTGGACCAGCTGGAATCCAGTATGATGTAGTCTCCATTTTGAGTACAAAATCGAATGGGAGAATGTTCAAAGGGAGGATGCCCTGCATACTTCAAGACTATATAAAATAATAAGACAAAAATAGGATTTATGTAACACAGATACTGATTATAAATGTCCTTTTTAAGCCATTTATTTGTACATGTTTTAGTGGTTTTTTGTTTTTGTTTTGAGATTGAGTCTCGCCCTGTTGCCCAGGCTGGAGTGCAGTGGCACGATATTGGCTCACTGCAACCTCTACCTCCCAGGTTCAAGCAGTTCTTGTGCCTCACTCAGTCTCCTGAGTAGCTGAGATTACAGGCATGCACCACCATGTCTGGCTAATTTTTGTACTTTCAGTAGAGATGGGTTTCATCATGTTAGCCACGCTGGTCTCCAACTCCTGGCCTCAGGCGATCCACCCACCTCAGCCTCCCAAAATGCTTAGATTATAGATGCGAGCCACTGCACCTGGCCTGTTTTAGTATGTCTAAATAGAAAACGATTGTTTTAGCAGCTTCAATATAATGCCTATCTGGTTAAAGGCTGCGCTCTAATGAGATGAAAAGAAAAATTAGAACAAATCAATGAGAGAAAAACATTTCCTCCTATAAAGGAGTAGGTCCTGACCTTTTTGGTGTATGGCAACCATCAGAGAACGATCTTCAGGGTGCAGGTAGCTTAGGATCGATGTTCCGATCAGGTCCTGAGGTAGGTAACCCAGCAAAGGCACTGCTCTGGGATACAGATAAACAACACAGATGGCACGTTATACTCATCAGGTAATTCTTACAATTTATATGTTTTTAAAAACACTTCTGTATTTCATTCTAAATGTGAGACAATTTTATGTAAAGCTGTTTATCTTAGCATTTATAAAAACAACAAAGAACCCAAGTGCACATCCTGGGGGAAATGGCTGTATCATCTAACACGTTGGTTATGTGACACATTGCATCAAAATCATCTAGGGAACTTGCTAAAATACAGATCCACAGGCTCACTGTAAGCTTACTAAATCAGAATCTCTGGAAGTAAGACCAGGCACCTGTATTTTTAGCAAGTTCCTTAGAGGACTCTGATGCCCTCCATAATTGTGTTTATGTTGCCATTTAAAAAGTCTACAAAAAGCACATTGTAATGTAGAAAAATGCTGATGATGTTAAATGAATAATGCAGGTTGCTAATTCATACAGCATAATTAAGATTACATAAAAACAATGTCACCTAGGCCAGGTGCGGTGGCTCACGCCTGTAAATCCCAGCACTTTGGGAGGCTGAGAGGGGCAGACTGCCTGAGATCAGGAGTTCGAGACCAGTCTGACCAACATGGTGAAACCCCATCTCTACTGAAAATATAAAAAAATTAGCTGGGTGTGGTGGCGTGCGCCGGTAATCCCAGCTACTTGGAGGCTGAGGCAGGGGAATTGCTTGAACCAGGGAGGTGGAGGTTGCAGTGAGCCAAGATCGTGCCACTGCACTCTAGCCTGGGCAACAGAGCGAGACTCCATCTCAAATACAAAACAAAACACAACAAAAAAACAATGTCACCCAAAAGGTAATATCAGATAGACAGACAGCTAGTACACGAAAAGAGTTTCAGGATAAAGGTTCATGGGAAACTTACCATGGTAAGACTAAGGATGCCTCAGAAAAAACTGGATTCCATAAATATTTTGCATGTGTAGAAACCCACAAATATTTTCTAATACAAGAGATTTAAGCTATTTTAAAAATTATATTTAGCTGAATTTCCTTACTTTATACAGATTAAGTATTTCACACATTACTATTTGGTTTCAAGGTAAATACTATCAAATACACTCATTTTCAGATGTTAAATTTTTTTAATAAAAAATTATCAAAAAATGTTTTTGACATTTTTCCTTTACAGTTACGTGTGGTGTGGTGCGTTGGTTCCCAGATTTTTGAATTTCATGAGTAAGTAAAATTTAAAAATAAATACGGGGAAAAATTGTGGGATACTGGTGTAGTGATACTGATATTTACTTTTTCCAAATAAAGATATTAAAAAACAGCAACAAGCAGTAACAACTACCTACTATCACTATCCTTTAAATAACAAAGACTATTTCAACATCCCCCAAAAGTAGGAAGGACAGAAGTTCAGAAGTTCAAAATAAAGAACAATTCTTTATAAAAAATAATCTGTTCTCCCCACCTTCGCCTCCACTTCAGACTAATCAAAATTTCATCATAAACTGTTTTGAGAAGCACTTGGCAAGTGGAAATAACACCAGAATAGGTGCTAGAAGACCAGAGTCTTGGGTCCCAGTTTGAACGCAGATACTATACATCTGTTCTCAGCAAACTGGCCCCTGGGTTCACTGTCTTCTCTGTAAAATGAAATAATTCTTGGCCTAGCTAAAGCATACTGTTGAGAAATCAAATATAACTTGTAATCACTTTCTAATATGCAAGATATTTATATTAAAAATTTAGACAACATATATTTCCATTTAACAAAGATCAAATAGGCAAATGGACAGATTTCAGTTATATAATGTATAAACATGCAAACGTAAACTTCTTCACATTTATATTTATTTTCAGAAACAAATTTATTTTAGGCTTAAAGAAGTGCTTACCTTTCATCTACTTCAAGAAACACACACCCTGGGGTGTGTGTTGTGGTAAAGATTCTTTTATTCACTGGGATTCGAGGAGCTATGAAAAAAAACGAAGACCCATTTAAAGGCAAATATCTGATTAATCATCCACTTAACTAACCACTTAACATATTAAAAAGAGAACAAAATCTATATGAAATGGCAGAAATCTCATTTAGGGGCCTGGCCTTCAAGCAGCCAAAGCTACAGTTAAATAATAATTTCATCACTAACTACATTTTAATTAGGTAAAAATGTGAAGCCTATTAAAGTCAATTTTAAACACAGAGAGAAAGAATGTGCACATTAAATAGTTTTCTCTCTGTTTTTTTTTTTTGGAGACAGTCTCGCTCTGTCCCCCAGGTTGGAGTACAGTGGCACGATCTCGGCTCATTGCAACCTCCGCCTCCCAGGTTCAAGTGATTCTCATGACTCAGCCTCCCAAGTAGCTGGGATTACAGGCACCTGCCACCACACCTGGCTCATGACAAATAATTTAATAGTTAAAACCAGAGTGACCAAAAAGTTTAATCAGATTTAGTAGCTGCATATAACTAAACAAACAAAAATACTACAAATATTATTTAGTACCATATGGATATTCTTAGTGTAATAAAATTAGTATGGTCAGTTCTATTCTAATGCTTGCTTTAATAATGAAGTGTGGCCAGGCTTGGTGGCTCACGCCTGTAATCTCAGCACTTTGGGAGGCCAAGGCAGGCTGATCACTTGAGGTCAGGAATTTGAGAGCAGCCTGGCCAACATGGTAAAACCCTGTCTCTACTAAAAATACAAAAATTAGCAGGGTGTGGTGGTGGGCACCTATAATCCCAGCTACTCGGGAGGCTGAAGCATGAAAATTGCTTGAAACTGGAAGGTGGAGGTTGCAGTGAACCGAGATCGCGCCACTGAGCTCCAGCCTGAGCAACAGAACAAGACTCAAGGAAAAAAAAAAAAAGTGATTGATATATTAGGGAACAATCTGAGCAAGTGCTAATATCTCATTTGCTTGTGCACTAATTTATTTTCAATAAACCTTAAGTGAATGCAGAAAACAGCATCCAGTTGAAAGGAACCACTTACAAATACACAAAAACAAGTGTGATGGTTGACATCTATAATCCCAGCACTTTAGGAGGCCAAGGCAGGAGGATCACTAGAGCCCAGGAGTTCGAGACCAGCCTGGGCAACATAGTGTGACCCTGTCTGTACAAAAATAAATAAGATTAGTTGGGCGTGATGGTGTGTGCCTGTGGTCCTAACTACCCTGGAGGCTGGGCCGGGAGGATCACTTAAGCCCGGGAGTCTGAGGCTGCAATGAACCATGATCACACACTGCACTCCAGTCTGAGTGACAGAGCAAAACCCTGTCTCAAAACAAAGCAAAACAACAACAACAAAAGAATACACAAAAACATGCATACACACCTCAAACATCTACCTGCTACCTCAGTCCATCCTGTGCTATAACCCATATTTATTGTAGTGTTTGTATATTTCCTAATCATTTAACAGGTATGAAATGATTATCATTTTTGTTCTATTTGTCTTACTTTTAATATGCAACTTTTTGAGTTTTGTGCTCCTAAATCCATTTTTCCCATAAGCCCTATGGTTTTTATTGTATGACTGTTACATAGGATGGTAATTTGTAAGAAAGCATATGTCATTTTACATCTGAACTGACTTTTCAGTAATACATGGAAACTGCCTATGTATTGATATATGCATGATATATGCATTTAGAAATATAGTTCTGCTCGTAGAAGATAAAATACACGTTTTACTCAGGGAGTTTCAAAACACTTCAAAAACATAAAATCACTCTTGTGGCCTCTCTGGGAAACAATTTCAGCACTCTTATTTCACACAACACAAGCAAAAGGCCACACTGACTGGGTCACCAGCAGAGGGAGGACTAGAAGACTGTATCTGTCACCAAATCCTGTGCTGAGACCATTCGTTCAGCCATGCTGACCATGAAGGCAATGACATACAAGAAGCCAAAAGTCAGTAAACAGACACATCAGTGAAAACCAGCTTCAAATGCCTGAAGAGTTTAAGGGTCAAATTGGAGACCCAAGAGCTCTTTTTTTGTTCTATGACTGACGTAAACGGACTTTCCCATGTTCCTATCTGATTGCTGACATCTCTGCATCTTATCTACTGATTTACCTTCATAACCAGAGTGAATCTTTTCAACCACAGTGAGACAGCAAGGTTCCGGTTCCGATTCCGATTCTGGTTGGCCAGGGCGATGTACATAAATCAGATAGGGGATGATCCGGAATGGGGAGTGACGCTTCTCTTGCTTTCTGTCTTCACCTCCACTGAGGAGATTAAAGATATTAGTGCTGGTCCTGATGCACCCTACTGGCCCATGGCAAAACAAGGCTGGGAGAAATGTTTTATTGGTAATTTCCAAGAGAGACATACCCACATCTAAAATGTTTAAACATGTTTGTTTTCAAAAGAAAGAATATGGTAGCTTAAATTTTCTATATTATTCGACAAGTAAGAAGTTGTGTAAAGAACTGGCTTAGATTACTGTGAGTGTAAAAACAATTAGCGGTTCCACGACTTTTCTCCTAGCCTCTATGCACTGAATTCCCAGTTTGACTTTTCCCCTTCTGCTATGAAAAGGAACAAGCATAATCGTCTCATCTCACATATCTACATCAGGTGTCACAAGAGAGAAAACAGGGTCCCCTGCAATCATGCCCTGGGGCCAGTTCTCAGTCGTCCCTTTCCACACTCTCTAAGAACCAATTTCGTCTCCAGCTTCAGTGATGAGGGCCCTTGCATGAGGTCAGGCGCCCCATCCATAAAGGCATCTGGCTGAGGAGTAAAGAAAAAGTTGAGGCTAAAACCAAGCTCAGCAAGCCCTGTCCCTGGCCCAGAGGGCGCGCTCCTTTCCACTCCTCACAAAGAACCTCTCGGCAGGGGCGGCTCTGACTGATCACCTCAAAGATTACAGCTGCCCAGCAGACGCTTCTACTGGGAGATGCCACTTCACCTAGAAGTCAAAAAGCCCAAGACTGAATTCACACTCCCCAACTTTTACCAATCACCTGTTTACTCTCTCACCAGCACGTAAAGGTGTGACTGCCAATCCTAAGGGGGTCTTTAGTGCTGCCAGAGATTCTCTAGTCTGTTACTACTTCCCCCTCACTTTTTTTTTTTTCCAAAGAGTCTTGCTCTATCGCCCAGGCTGGAATGCAATGGCACAATCTCGGCTCACTGCAACCCCCACCTCCTACCCAGGAGTACCCAGCCTCCTGAGTAGCTGGGATTACAGGTGTGCGCCACCACACCCAGGTGATTTTTGCATTTTTAGTAGAGATGGGGTTTCAACATGTTGGTCAGGCTGGTCTCAAACTCCTGACCTCAGGTGATCCGCCTGCCTCGGCCTTCCAAAGTGCTGAGATTACAGGTGTGAGCCACCACGCTTGGCCCCACCTTGCTCTTTCTCTTCTCCCACACACTCCAGAATCTTCTTCCACTCTGCACCCTCAACTGATGACCCTGCTTCCCATTTCACCAAGAAAAGAGAATCATCGGGAAGTGAGCTGTGTCCCGGTGCTGCTGACCCACATCCATGCTCACACCTTCCGGATTCCCTCCGTATCCGCGAATGCATTTTTCAGGTTCATCCAGAACAGGGTTTTAAACACCACTTACATGCTGATGACCCAAATATCTACCTCTAGCCTGGAAGTTGTCCTTAACTCCAGACTCTCATAGAGTCTCAACTTAGATATTCAACAGGTATCTCAACTTTAGCTTATCTAAAACTAAGCACCACATTCTTTCTCTCCTCCTCCAGGAAGTTGCTTTTCCTAGAATTTCGTCTGCCTCAATAAATGAAAACTCCAGCCCAAAACTCCTGGTGTTATCCTTGACTCTTATTTCACATTCACTCCAAATATAACCCATTAATAAAATTCTGGTAATTAGCTCTTAAAAAATATCCAGAATATCTCTTCTCAGCCTTTTGGCTAAGATCAAGTGTAAAAAATATCCAGAATATACAACTATTTCTACCTCCCCCAGCATGCTGGCCTATACCCTGTACCTCTGTAACAGCCTCCAACTCCCCTCCCTGCCTCCCCTCTTCCCCCTCCAAAGTCTCTTCAACACTGCAGCCAACACCAGCCTTTCATAATGGAAACTGTTTCCGGGCCAGGCACGGTGGCTCACGCCTGTAATCCCAACACTTTGGGAGGTAAAGGAGGTTGGATCACTTGAGGTCAGGAGTTCAAGACCAGCCTGGCCAACATGGAGAAACCCTGTCTCTACAATAAATACAAAAATTAGCTGTGGTGGTGCATGCCTGCAGTCCCAGCTACTCGGGAGGCTGAGGTAGGAGAATCATTGGAACCCAGGAGGCAGGGGTTGCAGTGAACAGAGATTGTGCCACTGCACTCCAGCTTGGGGGGACACAGTGAGATCCTGTCACACACACGCAACAAAAAAAAAAAAAAAAAAAGGAAACTGAAATGAATGCTTCCTACCTCCGTTCACTGAAAATTCCTAGAAGCAATGACAACCCTGTAGCAGCAACCATCCCTATCATCCAGATTGGGCCTCCAAACATGGATGCCATTTCCCACCACAAGGAACCAGGATCCTCAGAGAAATGACTGAGGCCACGTCTGGGTTAAGGAATGTCTAAAATGAGTCTGGGGCATCTCATGCTTAAAACAATGGAAGCTGTCAAAGACCATGGGGCACTCTCACAAGGGTACAAGGGGCCAACCCAAAGGGATTCCTACTGGCCTAAGATGGGACCATTTTGAGCCCTAAAACATGAATGAGAACTTTCTCTCTTAGAATGACACTCTGAAATACTGACGGAGGAAATCAGACGAGATCTGAGCTACGCTGCGTGGTAACTTGGGAAGAGGGGGTTAAGGAATTGGTGCTGGCAGAGATGACACCAGACTGGCCAGTGTTCAAATTCTTAAAAAGCTGGGTGAGGCCGGGTGCGGTGGCTCAAGCCTGTAATCCCAGCACTTTGGGAGGCCGGGACAGGCGGATCACGAGGTCAGGAGATCAAGACCATCCTGGCTAACACGGTGAAACCCTGTCTCTACTAAAAAATACAAAAAACTAGCCGGGCGAGGTGGCGGGCGCCTGTAGTCCCAGCTACTCAGGAGGCTGAGGCAGGAGAATGGCGTAAACCCGGAAGGAGGAGCTTGTAGTGAGCTGAGATCCGGCCACTGCCCTCCAGCCTGGGCGACAGCCTGGGCGACAGAGGAGTCTCAAAAAAAGAAAAAAAAAAAAAAGGCTGGGTGATGAGACCGTAGCAGTTCATTACATTATCTTTTCTTCTTTTGTGTTATGTTTGAAAATTCCCAAAGAAAAACATTTTGAAAATAATTAAGGGATAAACTGAAATAAAACACTTCCTGCAGAAGTCACAGCTCCCTGTGGTGTGGCCTGTGCTTCCCTGTCTTCTTCCATCCTCGCTCCTTCCACCACTCTGGCCACAGCAGCTCCATGTCACTCCTCCCACAGCCCAGGCATGGCCCACCCCAAGGGCCTCTGTGCCTGCTGCTCCCTGTGCCTGGAACACACTTTCTCAGACACTTGCCACCCCTCAGATACTGGTGTGGCTCACCCCCTGCCCCCCTTCTGGTCGCTGTTTCCAATTAGGCTTCCTAAGAGTTCCTGGATCACCCTGAATACAACAGCAATCTCCCACTTCCCAGAACTCCCGCTCTTTGCTTTGCTGTCTACACACAGCTTATCACGAGCCAACATAGGCATTTGAATATGTGTTTATTATTGGTCTCCTCCTCACAGAATTTAAGGTACATGAGGCAAGAACTCTGGATCCCAGCACCGACAAAGTGCCTGGCTCAGAGAAAGCACCCCAAAATATTTATTAACATCGGAAACACACATGGCACTTATTAGGAGGCAGGAACTGTTCTAAGATCTTCATACAACTCACTTGTGAATGACCCATTGGAACAACACAGCTCCTCTCACTGCTGCACCCTTCCTCAGGCCGTCCCTCCCAAGCATCCAGATCCTATGAGTTCAAGTCTCCCAATTCCATAGAGTATTGAAATATTAGACTATTTCATCATGAGGGTTTTTCTTCTCTCTAAACATCTAGAGCATTTAGTAACTTCAATACTAAAACCGGCAATCACAATGTCATTTTAAAATACTTGCTCTTTTTATTATGAAAGAACATAATACGTTATTGTCATCTTATATACATAATATGTAACAGAATATAGATATGTATTACATATATTATGTATGTAACATAAAGGGAACACTAATAATATATTGCAGCAAATTTAAAAGATAAAAAAATTCAGTAGTAATTCCCACCAGCAATCAACCACTGTTAAGTTTCATCTATTTTCTTCTGGTTCACTGTCTCTAGATCTTTTAAATCCTTCTCACAAATATAAATTTCTTGCTTTCTTCAAAGCTATTAACAATTTCAAAAATTAATTTTAAATGTGACTGAAAAACAAAAAGCAAACAAAAAAGAGCCCAAAACAACGGTCATTTTAGTGTACTTCACATCTAGTGACTCTTACACGTATGCTCCCAGATTTAAGATTTTCCTAGACTTTTTTCCTATTGCATTATTATTATTATTATTATTTTTTTTTTGAGAGAGAGAGTCTCACTCTGTCACCAGGCTGGAGTGCAATGATGCCATCTCAGCTCACTGCAACCTCCACCTCCCAGGTTCGATTATCCTGCCTCAGCCTCCCAAGTAGCTGGGACTACAGGTGTGCACCACCACGCCTGGCTAATTTTTGTATTTTTAGTAGAGACTCCGTTTCACCATGTTAGCCAGGGATGGTCACGACCTCTTGACCTTGTAATCCGCCCACCTCTGCCTCCCAAAGGGCTGGGATTACAGGTGTAAGCCACTGTGCCCGGTCTCCTATTGCATTATTTATCTAGTTTTCTCATGAGCATGTCTCTTCTCAATCAAAAACGAACTCCTTGTGGCAAGAAACAAGTCTTATTTTTTGTATCTTGTAACAGAAGTGAGCTGAATACACAAGAATCAAACTAACTGCAAAATAAACTCAGAGCATAATCCACTGTTTCTGGCTTCCACGAGCCACTATACTTACCGGATCCTGCAGAAAAAAGGTTTCACTGGAGCACATTCATACCGTGGAGCTGCTAAGAAAGAAAAATGCCTGGTCAGTCACTCCCTCTTAGCCAAGTCTTTCTCAGTGAAACAATGTCGTACCATTACCAAACAACAAACTATTTTTTAAAAAAGAGAGAGAGGTCTCCTTGATTAAGATGGAACCCTCTTCCTTCATTTTGAGATCCAGTCACATCCTAATATTTCCCAATTCTAGTATTGGGAAATACTAGTATTGGCTTTGGTACTGGAACCGTGAGCCTCAGGTATAACAGTGAGAATTGGTTTTCTCTTCCCCTTATTACTTTCCATAATTCCCAAACTGCCCATGTTCATTATCTCAAAGGTCAATGTAATGATCCTTGGACATAATTATTCTGGTGGTAATATTCCATTCCATTGTAATAGTCTGGACCTTTCTTTTTTTTGAGACAGAGACTTGCTCGGTTGTCCAGGCTGGAGCGCAGTGGCGTGATCTCGGCTCACTGCAAGCTCCGCCTCCCGGGTTCACACCATTCTCCTGCCTCAGCCGCCTGAGTAGCTGGGACTACAGGCGCCTGCCACCATGCCCACCTAATTTTTTGTATTTGTAGTAGAGACAGGGTTTCACCGTGTTAGCCAGGATGGTCTCGATCTCCTGACCTCGTGATCCGCCCGCCTCGGCCTCCCAAAGTGCTGGGATTACAGGCGTGAGCCACTGCGCCCAGCCTAGTCTGGACCGTTCTAAAAAATTGGGAATTCAGACTATTTTCAGCTTTTTAGCTATATGATATATAACTTTCTTTTTTTCTTTAAGCTCTTTCCTTGGATAAATTTCAAAAAGTTGTGTTCCTAGGTTAAATGATAGAATCGTTTTATGACTTTATTGTGTACAGATAAACCTCCACAAAACTGTACCAATCTTCAGAGTTTTATTAGTGTTTTCTCACAACCCTCATGCCAATGATTTCCTAGCCATTCTGTTGATTTCTGCATCAATTTTATTGATTTATGAGGTGGTAATTCAGAAATGTCTAAATTTGCCTTAGAGGCAGATGAGGGGGCTGAAATTTCTGCCCAGTGTTTGTTGACTGTATGTTATTTCCTCTGATTAGAGCTTCCTGAATATCTTTTGGGCATTTGTTCACTGAAACAAGAAGTCCCCAGTTATAGGAACCATGGAAAACTGTGAGATGTTAAAAAAATATACACCGAAGGCAGCATAAACAGTGAGAATCCAAAAGAACCAAAATATTGAATAAGCAGCCCAGGTCTTCATACTTCTAAGAAACAATCATAGAAGAATCAGAAAGCATTGATAAAGCACTGAAGACTAGTATAATCTTCTACAGAAAACAGCCTTTACTATGAAGTCAGTTTGCTTATACCATTTATTCATCACACCAGACACCTGAACTCCAACTGCACTCACTAGAAGTCCTGGACCACTGAAAGCCAGACTATGTGATCTAAGACAGTAGACACGAGCCCATGACGCATTTCCATTCCTACGCTGTAAATATGTGATGCTTATTTCTAAAAGCGTGCTCTGAAGAAGTAATGGTCAGATCCTTCTAAGAGGTTTATACAAGACATGTTAAACAGAAACATATTCTAATATGGGACCATAGGCTGACAACAGCTGAGTGGATTGCTTCCTAAGTCCTCTTGATGTTCTGTGTGCTCAAAGCAAGGAATCGAAGGAGGTAACGCAGGCATAGCCTAGAAAGGGGGTGGCGTTAACCAACTGCTCTCAGTAAGAGTATCAATCCTTGAGATTTATAAGACAAAAGTACAATATAAAGAGTAAACTAGAATTACATCATGCCTTATGGCATAAGCGAATTCTGAGATCCAAAAGAATTATTTCAGGGCATACTAATATTTTACATAAAGAGTGATATGGTTTGGCTGTATCCCCACCCAAATCTCATCTTGAATTGTAGTTCCCATAATCCCCACATGTCAAGGGAGGGACGTGGTGGGAGGTAACTGAATCATGGGGGTGGCTGCCCTCACCCTGTTCTGGTGACAGTGAGTTCTCATGAGATCTGATGGTTTTATACGGGGCTTTTCTCCCTTTTGCTTGGTACTTCTCCTTGCTGCTGCCACATGAAGGACATGTCCCCTTCTGCCATGATTGTAAGTTTCCTGAGGACTCCCCAGCCATGCTGAACTGAGTCAATTAAAACTCTTTCCTTTATAAATTACCCAGTCTTGGTATGTCTTTATTAGCAGCATGAGAATGGACTAATACAGTAAACTTGTACTGCAGAGTGGGGTGCTGCCATAGATACCCAAAAATACGGAAGTGACTTTGGAACTGGATAACAGGCTGAAACAGTTTGGAGCGCTCAGAAGAAGACAAGAAAATGTGGGAAAGTCTGGAACTTCCTAGAGACTTGTTGAATGGCTTTGACCAAAATGCTGATAGTGATATGGACAATGAAGTGCAAGCTGAGGTGGTCTCAGATAGAAATGAGGAACTTGTTGGGACTGGAGTAAAGGACACTTTTGCCATGCAAAGAGACTGGCAACTTTTGCCCCTGTCCTAGAGATCTGTGGAGCTTCAAATTTGAGAGAGATGATTTAGGGTATCTGATGGAAGAAATTTCTAAACGGTAAAGCATTCAAGAGGAAGCAGAGCATAAGAACTTGGAAAATCTGTAGCCTGAAGCTGTGATGGAAAAGAAAAACCCATTTTCTGGGGAGAAATTCAAGCCTGCTACAGAAATTTGCATAAGTAACAAGAAGCCAAATGTTAATCACCAAGTCAATGGGGAAAATGTCTTCAGGACATGTCAGAGACTTCACAGCAGCCCCTCCCATCACAGGCTGAGGCCTAGGAGGGAAGAAATGGTTTTCTGGGCCTGGTCCAGGTCCCCACTGCTCTGTGCAACCTTGGGACATTGTGCCTTCCATTCCAGCTGCTTCAGCTCCAGCCGTGGCTAAAAGGGACCAAGGTACAGCTCAGGTTATAGCTTCAGAGAGTGAAAGCCCTATTCCTTGGCAGCTTCCATATGGTGTTGGTACTGCAGGTGTGCAGAAGACAAGAACTGAGGTTTGGAAACCTCTGCCTAGACTTCAGAGGATGTATGGAAATGCCTGGATGTCCAGGCAGAAGTCTGCTACAGGGGCGGAGCCCTCATAGAGAACCTCTGCTAAGACAGATGTGTAAGGGAAATTTGGGTTCGGAGCCCACACAGTCTTCAATAGGGGACTCCCTAGTGTAGCTGTGAGAAGAGGGCCACCATCCTTCAGATCCAAGAATGGTAGATCCACCGAAAGCTTGCACTGCGTGCCTAGAAAAGTCACAGACACTCAATGCCAGCCCATGAAACCAGCCATAAGGGAGGCTGTACCGTGCAAAGCCACAGGGGCAGAGCTGCCCAAGGCTGTAGGAGCCCACCTCTTGCACAAGCATGACCTGGATGTGAGACATGGAGTCAAAGGAGATTATTTCAGAGCTTTAATTATTGCTTCAGTGGATTTCAGACTTGCAAGGGGCCTGTAGCCCCTTTGTTTTGGCCAATTTCTCCCATTTGAAATGAGTGTATTTACCCAATGCCTGTGCCTCTATTGTATCTAGGAGGCAACTAACTCGCTTTGGACTTTGCAGGCTCATAGGTGAAAGGGACTTGCCTTGTCATATATGAGACTTTGGACTTGGACTTTTGGGCTAATGCTGGAATGAGCTAAGACTAGAGGACTGTTGGAAAAGCATGATTGCGTTTTGAAATGTGAGGACATGAGATCTGGGAGGGCTCAAGAGCAAAATGATATGGTTTGGCTATGTCTCACCCAAATCTCATCTTGAACTATAGTTCCATGTGTGCTGGGAGGAACCTGGTGGGATAGATAATTGAATCATGGGGGCAGTTTCCCCCATGCTATTCTCATGATCATAAGTTCTCATGAGATCTGATGGTTTTATAAGGGGCTTCCCGCTTCACCCAGCTCCCATTCTTCTCCTTCCTGCCATCATGTGCAGAAAGACAGGTTTGCTTTCCCTTCTGTCATGATTGTAAGTTTCGCGAGGCCTCCCCAGTCATGTGGAACTGTGAGTCAATTAAACTTCTTTCCTTTATTAATTACCCAGTCTCAGGTAGTTCTTTATAGCAGCGCAAGAATGGACTAATACAGAAGGGAAATATCCCAGTAATCAGTAATTAGCAAAAGTGAAAAGAAGCAAAAGTGAAAAGACTGAAAAGACACAGGCAGTGCTGAAGGAAAAATACCTGGGGAAAAAATGGGAAAGACCTGGCAGACAATATTGTGTATGTCCCGTTCACAGCTGTATCTGCATCTGGACTAGTTCTTGACCCACAGTAATTGTTAAACAAATGTTCACAGAATGAACAGCTAACAAAAGCAGAGAAACAAATACAGACAATTAAAGGTTGAAAATGTATATTTAGGAAAGGGGAAGAGAAATAAAATCAATATTTTTGAAAAATGGGAAAAGAGATGAGGTAGAAGCAAGCAGGGATGACACACATGTTTCCTAGAGCTTATGTAAGACTATTTTTAAAAGATGGGGCAATCTATAATTGGAATAAGAAATATGTAAAGCTATCCTTCATTAAATGAAGTAGTGGGTAAAAAATTAGAAATAGTAGAATTTCAGATATGAAGATAGAAAAGTTAAGGAGATCTGTTTCACAACAACGTAAACATCCTTCACAGCAATGGAGTGAATGCCTAAAAATGATTAAGATGGTGTATTAGGTCCGTTTGCATGCTGCTGATAAAGACATACCCAAGACTGAGCTATTTACAAAAGAAAGAGGTTTAATGGACTTACAGTTCCACATGGCTGGGGAGGTCTCACAATCATGGCAGAAGGCAAGGAGGGGCAAGTCACATCTTACATGGATGGTAGCAGGCAAAGAGAGAGAGCTTGTGCAGGGAAATTCCCATTTTTAAAGCAATCAGATCTCATGAGACTTATCCACTATCATGAGAACAGCATGGGAAAGACGCCATCGTGATGCAATTATCTCCCACTGGGTTCCTCCCAGGACACATGAGAATTGTGGGAGTTATAATTCAACATGAGATTTGGGTGGGGACACAGCCAAACTATATCATATGGTAAATCATATGTGTTTTTACCACAATGATTTTTTTTTTTTTTAATTAGAGAGAAGGGCTTGGAATCAAAGAGAAGGCTGATATATATATATATATATATATATATATGTGTATATATATACACACACACACACACACACACACATATATTTAAAGTTCTTTAAGAGACACTTCACAAAGAATATAAAATAATAAAGGATGACTGAAAATAAAGAAATTAAGATCCCACAGGACCAAATGTCACAAAGAAAATTGCAATAGGTATCTTTGAATTAGGAAAAAAAGCATTCCAGAAGGAAAACAAAGTAATAAGACTCATAACTTTCAGGGGCAAGAAAAACTGTAAGACAGCTAATGATCTGAAAAAAAATTTTTTTTTTCCCCAGACACAGAGTAACAGAGTTTCACTCTTGTCACCCAGGCTGGAGTGCAATGGTGTGATCTTGCCTCATTGCAACCTCTGCCTCCCGGGTTCAAGCGCTTCTCGTGCCTCAACCCTCTGAGTAGCTGGGATTACAGGCATGCACTACCATGCCCGGCTAATTTTTGTACTTTTAGTAGAGATGGTGTTTCACCATGTTGGCCAGGCTGGTCTGGAACTCCTGACTTCAGGTGATCCACCTGCCTCAACCTCTCAAAGTGCTGGGATTACAGGCATGAGGCACCATGCCCAGCCTAATGATCCGAATTTTATCTCCAAAGTAAAATCTCTCATACAAGAAAATCATGAAAGAGGAAAAATATTTAATTTTAACTTAAAGGAAACAGAGCCTTCAGAGCAACTAAACCACTACATGATATGCTGGTAATGAAATAATACTTATGACATATAATCTGTGAAACAGACCTGGCAAAATGGAAAAAAATGCATTGAGTCTTTATGTTATCAGAAGGTTTTAAAATGCTGTTTTCATCCCATAACTTTCTATAACAGGAATAAGAAAAAACAGATAGTTTGCATGTTCTAAATAATGTGTTAATTTCTGTACTATTCCTGTAAGAATGAAACTGATCTTGATGAGGAAAGACAGACATCTAAACATTGGTCCTGTTACCTCTTTGGGTCCAGTTGTTCCAGAAGGGAAGCTGAGCTCTGGCAGTGTGCGCGTAGAATACCCTCACGTCTTGAGGGGCAAGCAGGTCAACAAAGTGAGAAGACGCCAGGACATCTTTCTTACGATTCAGGATCAAAGCAGCCTGTTCAGAAACGTGCACTAACCTTCCAGACAGAAATGAAAATACTGCCACAAAGGTATCCTATGAAAAACATTTAAAATAAATGCAAATATTGAGGTACTCGCCAGCAATATTCCCTGAAAGGTAAAGTTCTTCTAGATCTCTAACGTGATCAATATCCTAAAATACACAGGCACAACCTATGAATGCAACAAAACTCCTCTAAGAATTTTCTCCAAATCCTTCTTAAATATTCTCCTAAGACCTGCACTTCACCTACTGAAGGTTCGATTTCTATGCCAAAAAATATACTAGATCATTTTATGCAGACTAAACATACATATGGCACATAACTTTTCCTCTGCAAACTGTGCCTTACACCTGGGTGGACGGTGTTCTCATCATCAATGCAGATTCTATGCTTTAAGACACGCTGAAGAGTCACCTTCTTTAAGAGGCTGTCTGTGACAAACCTCATTACATAAGCATCATTGCTCTAATTTCTTCCATTACACATAAATGAAACTTACTTATAATCAGCAGTTTGTTTGCTAGCATTGGCATGCTTTCCTCTCTAGCTTTATTTTAAATATCTTAAAAGACAAATATTTTCTTAAGCTATTTAAAAAAAATCTCCATAGCACCTATTACAGTACTATGTACACACCAGTCCATAAAATAAGCACCGTTATAATAGTAGGGATAGCTCATGTTCCACTATTACAAAATCTTTAAGTTACAATTATGTTGAGGTCTGTATAAAAAAATAAGTAATCTCCACCGTATCAACCAAACATGAGGCTCAATTACTCTGTCAAACAAGAAGAGAGATTAAAAAAAGATATACTAAAGGTCTCTTCCAAAATTTTATGAAAAATGACAGCATCTCAACTCACCTGTTCTATAACATCCAGTTGTTACAACTTGAAGTAGTAGATATTGGAACTAAGAATGATATAAATAGAAATTAACAATTCGGAGATTAGAATAAGATGCAGGAAATTACTCTGCAGTGTAATTTTTGTTTTCTCTTAATTCAAAAGAGCTTGGGAATGCTAAGGAGCTAAAAGCACCTCATAACCAAAGTCACTGAACTGCACAGCACACAGAATGGGCTGCTTTTGCTTTTGGATGTTTTCTCTGGCAAGGGCGGAGAAGCTACACCATGCCTCTTTAGCAGTTCCTCCTTTGCTTCTCTCAAATTGTGGTTGCTGAAACGTTGTTATTCTTCTTAAAAACCTACATCTAGAGCAGGTCCTTAGGAAAAGTCACCCAGGTTGATATGGCAAAATGCATGAATTCTTACTGTGTTTTTGGAAGTGTGTTCTGAAGCAATAGTGGCCAGCTCCTCAAGACTGTACATGGTCACATCTGCCTGAGGTGCTCCATTTTGACTGAGAATCTGGAAAAACTCACCGTTTGCTAAGAAACACAGGGAGATAAACAGGTAGTCCAGTGACAACAGTATCTTTAGGAAACCATTTTTATCACTATCAAGGTGGATTATTTTTTCCGGATGAGAGCACCTCGGTGCATTTTTCTCAAAAACAGATCATTTTCTGCTTTTACCTAAACTACTGATAATTGTGCAAACTTAAGAGTTGATTTTATGAATTCTGCATGTTCTGGATCACAGGGAGCAAGATATATTTAAAGTACTAACAAAAAATTTCAGATGCATACAGAATTTTTTTTTGGGGGGGAGCAGAAACTACTCCCATCATTCAGGGACATATCATATATGATGCACTGAGGTTTGTGCTAAAGAGAAGACAGCTGTTAATGAAATCCCTTGAGATGTCAGAGAGAAAAAGAAAAGTGTTTACAACGGTTCATTTTTAGTTTAATAAATTCCTAATATGTCATTACCACATTTTAAAAGTATGTGTAGGGCATGTAAAGGTAACTATTTAGTGGAATGCATTTTTTTCCCCATAACTTCCATCGAAGACAATGTTTTTTTAAAAAGTTAGCCTTCAAAATGTGTTTATGCTAAACTCTACTCTCTTACAACAAATGAGCAAAACATTGCATAGTTACTATACACTATTATACAGATAAGTTTTTCTGGTCTTTCACATGTGAAAAATTAAGACACGAATGGAATTGGCATAGATTTGCTCATCTTCCATAAAGCACCAGAAAAAGCTCAAAGTAGCTGTCTGACTAAGACCCCACTGATCACTTCTCTGGCTGCTTTTGTGAGACCTGGTGCATGTGTAGGATCGAATTTCTCTCTGGCTTGTTTACCTTGCACGCTGTGGACACAGCGGAGAGCATAGTTGAGGGCATCTAGAGTGCTTGGTTTATTGCGTCTCTCCGAGGGGAAGTATTTTTTCATTTCTTGGACAACCATGATAAGTTCTTCAGAAACTCTGTTTCGATCTTGCTGTTCACTGGAAGATTAAAAAAAATTACAACTTCACACCTATGAAGATAACAGCATCTTGCGATTTAGGGAACACAAACTGCAAACCAGATAGGTTTCTAAGTAATCTACTGGCATCAGATCATCCACTCTACAGGCTGGTGACCCCGCTTCCTCCAGGTGGAGAACTTCAGGCAAAGCAACTGGTGAATGACAAACATTCTCCACTTACTTTCCCTTAATCCACCTGAGTCCCAACTCAGCTAACTTTTGTAACCACTTTTCTCTCCAGATACTCTTCGGTAATTTTCTTCAGTATCCCAGATCACTTCATCCTACGTTGCCCAAGTCTCCCCCTACACTTTCCCCCGGACTTAGAAACAAAACAATAAAAAGATTCAGGTCCCCCTTTTGTTGCTCCGGGAAGGACAACGAACGCATGGGGCCCTGGGCCTGAAGCCAGCGCGTCACCTGTGGCTGCTCTCCGCCAATTTCCTTTGCAGATGGAACTCGGGGCTCCACCGCTCCCCCGATTCTTCGCCCAGGGCCTCGTACTCAGCCCCCCGTCCCCCGGGGCCAGGAGGTTCCCCGCGGGGCGTCTCGAGGTCTCCGCGGGGCTCCATGTAGGGCTGGGACAGCCCGCTGCTTTCTTCTCGTTCACTTTGCAGTCGGCGACAGACACCGGTTTCTCACTCTGGTCCGCGCCATGGCGTAAGAGGCGGCCACCACGAGCCAGGGGGTCACGCTCATCTCCGAGGGGCTTCTCCCTCCAGCATTTCCAAAACCCGGAGCTCGTTCGACTTTCAGAAGTCCGGCCTGTGGGGAGGAGACAAGGGTGACAAGGGACAAGTGGAACGGACAGTCCGACGCCAGCGACCCGGCTGGCTGGGGCGCCCCGACCGCGCGGTCCTCACCCCTGCCCCAACTTTCCCGCACGCCGAGGGCTGGGGCCTGTGGAGGCGGGCGGCTCGGAAGCGCAACGCTCCGGGAGCCCCCAGTGCTGAGGGCCGCACTCGCTTGGCTCCTCTGCCGCGCGCGGGTGCCGAGAACTCCCGCCCCACCGCGCACTCACCGGCTGCCCCAGCCCTCGGCCCCGCGCGCAGCAGCTCGCCCTCTGGGCCGCCCGCGCGCAGTCTCGAGGCCCGCCGCGTGCCAGGCAGCAGCCAGCGCCGCGCCCCCCGCCGCCGCGTGACCGGCCCCGCCCCCGGGCCGCGCGATTGGCTGTTGGGGCCGACTCCGCGGGCCTCCATTGGTCCTGGGGCGGGGCGCGAGCCGGGGCGCCCGGGTTATATAAGCCAGGGCGAGGGGGCGGGGGCCCCCGGGGCGCGTTACATAACGCGCGGGCTCGGGCGGAGTCCGGCCTCGGCCAATCCCGGCAGGCCGGCGGGCGGGCAGGGGGCGGGGTGGCCCTGAGAGGCCTCAGGCCTGTGCCGCGCGACTGGAGTGTCCGGCCCCCTGGCACGGCGCCGGGGCGCAGCCGCTAAAGCAAGCGCAGAAATGATAGGGCCAGGAAGCTGCCAGCCACGCGGGGGCGGGACCCGGGCTCTGTGGGGCGGGGCGGGTCCGGCCCAACCTCCACGTGAGAGGCGAGTGGGGAAGGAGAGGGGAGTGAAAGGTGGGGGCAGAGAGGGGCGAGAGGCGGGGGCGTGGGATGCTTGAGTCCGGTCAGGGGGAAGCTGGAAAGGGGGACGGATGGGGGCGAGAGGCGGGGACTGGGGGCAGATGGGAGCTGGGGAGTCGAGAGACGTGGGGGGCGGAGGCAGGAGCGGGGGGTGGGGGCGAGGGTGTCGAGGGCAGGCAGAAGGGGGAGGGAGAGGCGGGGACTAGGGGCGGGCAGGGGCAGCCCGGGCCAGTTCTCTGGGGTCGGGTCCTAGAGTTTGTAGGTGGCTCTCCGCTGCCCGAGCGGGTGTGGGAAGGAGCCCAGGGTGGGGCTGGCTGCTGGCAGCGGATCTCGTCGTGCTTTGGGCGTCTTCCCGGGTTCCCACGGTTTTCACCGCCCGTGACCTACCGAGCCCACCCCAACCGCCCCCATCCCTCGCTCACTCTTTAGGTGAATCGGGTGGACTTGGAGGAACCAGGCCGTAAAGCAGCCCTGGTAAAAGCCCATCCGATTTTTAGAAACAGATTTTTTTCTTTTTAGACAGGGTTTTGCTCTGTCGCCCAGGCTATAGTGCAGTGGCGCGATCTCGGCTCACTGTAACCTCCCTCTTCTGGGCTCAAGCCAGTCTCCTGCTTCAGCCTCCCGAGTAGCTGGAACTACAGGTGCGGCCACCACACCTAATTTTTGTGTTTTTGGTAACGCTGGTCTGTGTTGGCCAGGCTGGTTTCAAACGCCTGAGCTCCAGTGATGTGCTGGCCTCGGTCTCCCAAAATGTTGGAATTACTGGCGTGAGCCACTGCACCGGTCCAGAAACAGAATTTTGACGCTGGAACTTAAAACATTTCTCTGGACTTCCTAAAATTAGATTCATTTGGCAACTGGAGGAAGACAAATGTAAAAGACACTTTCAGAAAAGGAAGGTGTAAAGCCCTTTAAAAAAAAAGTCTGAAAGCTCAGTTTAGATTGTATCTCAACACGTCAGAAATGAAAGGTACAGAGCAGAGTGCCGCCCCTCTCTGCTGCCTGGTACAGAAACAATATTCAGTATTTGTTGGATGAATGAAATTGTATGCAAAGGAAGCGGGGAAAAGTGAAGTGGGTGAGTGTTCATGTTAGGTGTTGAATAAACCACCTTATCCTTCCAAGCGGTACTCTAGGTTGACTTGCTCTCCTCCGAAGGTGGGTTTTGTCAAACTGCATTCGTTCAGCATTTATTGTGTGCAGATCTGGGTAGGGACGCTTGGAATCCCAGGAGATAGAAGAGTGGACCAAAGTCCCTGCCACCCACGGAGTTGACGTTTTATTGAGAAAGACAAACAACCCCATAAATAAGTTCATAAAACTTAAAGGGATGTGTAGAAAACAAGCTACTGGAAGAGTAACTGGGAGAGAGGTGGAGCGGGGAGGCCAGAGCCTCCCGAGATCAGCGAGGCAGGCCTCTGGGAAGGCGGATTTCAACCTGAGATGAGAGGCGCCTGCCGCGGATGGGGGAAGTAGACCCTGCACAGCTGAAAGTACCTGCAAAAGACCTTTGGAAAGAAGTTTGCTGATGAGAAACCGAAACAAACTATCAGGTCTCTTTCTCCCTCAGGGCTTTCTTGCCTGTTTTCATTCATAGCTTAACTCTGGCCTTCAAGCCACACCCTGATGTTGAAAGTGTCAAGGGCACAAGTCTCTCCAGTGTCAACAGCTAGCTATACTTTGGCGAAGTACTTTGCTTGGAGAAGAGAGAGCTGGAGAGTGTGTGAGATGAGGTTGGAAAGTTAGAAAGAACCAGACCATGGTGGGACCTGTAATTCGGGAAAGGGACTTGGATTTTCCTATTGTGAACATAAGCAAAAGTCCTCTTCCACCCCATTATATTGTTTCCTAGGGGTTCTAGAGTAGAATGGAAATACATTCATGGGGAAAATATCTACATGAACAAAACAGAGCCATGTGTCTGGGGATGTCCCTCACCCATCCAGACTTATCCCAGGGTCCATGTCAGCAGCCATCTATTCTACCACATACATGGTCAGCTTGCACATCCCTTTTGAAAGACCATCTATTTAGGGAACTCCAAAGCCAAATCCTGAATTTTAGTAATTGTGTAAAAGCCAGTTTCCTCTTCTATACTAAAAAGCACTTCTCAGAAGGGGAGTGGTTTGCTTCTCTTCACTGGGGTAAGGGGAAATGCTGGGTACTAAAAGGTAGAGTACCTAGAGAGGGGCTGGTGAGAAAAGGGGAGAGAGTTTCAGAGCTTCTAAGGGACAGGTATGGGGAGCAGCAAGGAATGGCAGTTTCAGGACCTGGATCAGGTGCAGCTAGTCCTCTACAAGAAACACAGGTGCCACAATCATGTTTATAAACACTTTATTTAGGTCACTACAGTGGGTAAGTTCCCAGCTAAGTGCACAGAGACAAGCGAGGTATTTCTGGGTTAATGCAGGAGCCAGTGGGTTACATGGGTCTGAGCTCTGTGGCCAAGGGGCGAGCACCAAGGTTTCAGAGTCACACCCGGCCAGAGATCCTGCGCTGAAGGTGGGCTAGTGTCCTAACACTGCCAGCTGCTTGCTTCTCACAGCTAGCCACACTGCAAGGCATGTCTTCAAAAGTAAACCGTTTCAGCGATGTTAAGGGAACAGATGTTAAAGAAATGGAAGTTGTGTCCTGGTGCGCCTCAGCTGTTGCTGCTTTATAAGTCTTAATAGCATGTGAACAAGAGTTTTAGAATATTCCAGTAACAATGAGCCACAGAGCAATAAAGTCTGTGTCTTTCTCCCTCAGTGCCTCCTTGCCTGTTTTCTTTCATATCTGAATTCCCATCTTTAAGCTGTGATGTTGAGTCTCATGTATAGAAGAAAAGTTTCTCCGATGACAAAGTTTCTTTGGCGACAACAGCTACTTCCAGCATTCCCACCAACAGCATTCTCTGCAGTTGATGGTATCAAAGCAAAGGTCTCTGGTTGGCTACTCTCTGTGAAAAGAGTCGTTCGTTCACCCCTGACCAATGCCTAATTGCAGGCATAATTTAGAAAACTGATTTAGGAAGCAGATGTGACTACAAATAGGAAACAAACTCCAAAAAGTTATCGTTTATCTTCATATTTGGGCCAGATAATGATCAAGTTCACAGGTGGTCTTACTTGAGGCTACAGAATTGTTGCTTGCATAATTATCAGAAACATGTTGGAGTCCACAGCTGATAATCTGCCAACTGCTGGGTAAAACTCTTCTGTCCATAGGAATGAGACGGTCAGAGTCTACCTCACACCTTCCCTAACCCCCATGCAGAATACTGAATCAGAAGAGGAGCCACACTGTCTACAGCCTTTCAAAAGGAAGAAAGGCCTGTTAAGATGTACAAGTTTCATACACAATGTAATGATTTTAATTCTGAAGGGGCACCTTGAGTTCCATTTGGCAGGTTTCTGAATTTAACTATCAGGAATACACTTAAGGCCATTTTATCGGCATTTAACTTTTTGGCAAAATAGAAGCTTTGGTCATAGCCATAGTTCTATAAAATTTTTTTAAAGGAGGTTATTTATGATTAAACAACATTTTTAGCAAGTGATACATAACAATAACAACAAAGTAAACATCTTCAAATCTAATGCAAGAGCAAAAGCTCTTCACCAGCATCTTATCTTAAATACAGCGAGAGTCAGTAGTGCTTACAAAAAGTAGAGGGTTCTCTTCTAGGGAATCAGAAAATTATCAAAATAAGGCACAGCCTGTTGTTATCACAGATTTGTGTTAGGCAGTAGTGTTTTTTTCTGGAAGGCACAAGTTGGAAATCTGATTACCCAAAGTTTTAAAATGTGGTTCTGAAAATAATGCCGAATGACAAGGGTAACTAACTGGGAGCAATGGCAATTAATTAGTGACAACATTACATCTAGATTATAGCACTCTGGAACTTAAGAAGGCCTCTTCATCAGCCCATACGTAAATCTGTAAAGGCACTGTGCAAAATGTGGACGGGGCTGGCCTTACTTCTAATTTGGAGTGCATATTAAAAAACAAAGGCACGTTTCCTAGAAATTCAACTTTTAACTAACACACACACAAAAAAACATTTTAGAGATAACAGTAGGTAAGCTTGATAATATAGCAGGTTCTAAGTCAAAAGTCTTGAAGAGGTTTCTTGAACAGCAGTTTTGAGTTCCGCTGGTTCTTCATGAAGAGACAACCCACACTAAGAAGGAGAGACGCAAAAAGGCAGGGGAAACAGCAGGTTAGTCTCTCAGTGCGAATCCCAAGCCAACATCCAATGCTGTGGTCTAAATGTGATCAGAAATTAGACTGGGCTGATTTCCTACTACTGGCTTCTCTCCATTCTACAGAGGGCTAGAGGAAGGAGACTAGAGTCAAAAGGATCCAAGTAACTGTACCTTCCCGCTAAAAGGAAACATCCACTAACATCCATCAATCAATGAAAGAAGTCATGTTTC